CAAAGTTTTTGAAACAAAGACAAAAGACAAGCAGGCTCGCTTAAAACAGAGTGGTATGAATCTTTCCGGGAATATGATATGTTACTTTTGGAAGTGATGTGTTATAGCTGATATTTGTACAATCCTTGTCTGATTACAGGACGCGAGCTTGCTGTTTCATGGGCTCTATGTGCTGTATGCCTAGTTGGCCATTTAACTCACTTTCTTGGTGTGAAGGCTCCTTGGCTCCATGCAGTCCATTCAACAGGGTTCCATGTGTCTTTATGTTTGCTTACGTTACTTGGTCCCGGTCGTCAGCTAATACTCGATGGTTTCAAAAGCCTTTTAAAAGGCTCTCCCAACATGAACACGCTAGTTGGTCTCGGGGCTATGTCATCCTTTAGTGTTAGCTCCCTTGCAGCCTTGATTCCAAAATTGGTAATTAACTTCCCTTTTTGGAGTTGTATATTGCTCCTTGCGGTTGGTGGCTGATATCATAAAGCAATAAAATTGTTTTGACATCATCCAGGGATGGAAGACATTTTTTGAGGAACCAGTTATGTTAATAGCTTTTGTATTGCTGGGAAGGAATCTTGAACAGAGAGCTAAAATTAAAGCCACCAGTGATATGACTGGCCTTCTGAGTGTTTTGCCTTCAAAAGCTCGCCTTCTGCTTGATGGTGGTGATCTGCAGAACTCTACTGTTGAGGTTCCTTGTAATAGTCTTTCTGTCGGCGATCTAGTCGTCATATTACCAGGAGTAAGAAGAAACAATTTCATTGTCATGCATAGTATGATGTTATTTCCCATGTTTTATGACATGCTAGAACTTTAGAAATCTTGTTTTCCTGCTAATGCAAAGTGTCCCTGACGCATTAACATGCTCACCTAATTCACGCAGGATCGAGTTCCAGCAGATGGTATTGTCAAGTCTGGTAGAAGCGCTATTGATGAGTCAAGTTTCACCGGTGAACCAATGCCAGTGACAAAAGAAGCAGGGGTAACTTTCTACTCCACACCTATCTTTATCTAATGTAGTCTGAAATAGATTACAAATAATGTTATCATCTTGACTCTTTTTGGTTGTGTCGTTGCCATATTAGACACATCATTAACCTTAGTCAACTATTCTGCTCATGGTATGGTACTAGTTATGTAGATGTAACTCATGTTTTGTTGTTAAAAATTCTCTTGGGCTAGAGTCAAGTGGCAGCAGGATCTATAAACCTGAATGGAACTCTTACCGTCGAAGTGCACAGATCAGGGGGTGAAACTGCAGTTGGGGACATTGTTCGTATGGTTGAAGAGGCTCAAAGCAGAGAAGCACCCGTACAACAGTTGGTTGACAAGGTCTCTATTCTCTTTCCTTTTACATTTCTATATCAATTCTTAGGGTCATTTCAGGATTAATCTTTTTTTTTTGCAATTACAGGTCGCAGGGCGCTTCACATATGGAGTGATGGCAATCTCTGCAGCTACATTTACATTCTGGAATCTATTTGGTGGACATATTCTTCCCTCTGCCTTGCATAACGGGAGCCCAATCTCTTTGGCTCTCCAACTATCTTGCAGCGTTCTGGTATTATAATCTTTTTAACATAAATGTTAATAATACTTTTCGCTGTTGCAGTTATGATCAACGTTTTCTTCTTTTTTTTTAGGTTGTGGCTTGTCCATGTGCCCTTGGGTTGGCTACACCAACTGCAATGCTGGTAATTTTTCTACTGAATAAAAGTCTTTTTATGTAATGGATGAGACAGAGTAAATGCTGAAATAACTTGATATATTCTTTAGGTTGGTACGTCATTAGGAGCCAGAAGAGGCTTACTTCTTCGTGGTGGTGATATTCTTGAAAAGTTTTCCTCCGTTGATACTGTTGTCTTTGACAAAACTGGGACACTGACAAAGGGACACCCTGTTGTGACTGAAGTTATTATTCCTGAAGAGTCAAGGTTAGGCTCTAAAATTGAATGATCTACCTGTTCGTCAAGGACTTGATAAACATCTGATTCATCTTGTTCTTACGCAGGCACAATTTGAATGATACTTGGTCAGAAGTTGATGTTTTGACATTAGCAGCTGCTGTTGAATCAAACACTACTCACCCTGTTGGGAAAGCAATTGTTAAAGCAGCCCGGTCTCATAATTGTAAAACTATGAAGGTAGGACTGTTAATGATAAACGTTTCCCCTGTTTGATAAAATTAATAAACTCCATCACTGCAGGCAGAGGATGGAACATTTACTGAGGAACCAGGGTCTGGAGCCGTTGCTATCGTCAACAACAAGAGGGTTGCAGTTGGGACCCTAGAGTGGGTTCAGAGGTATTATCTGTTCAACCTTTGTGTTAGTTGACTTTTACAGGACTTTGGACTGTGCAAAAGACAGAAGCATCTGTTTTAATTCACGCTTGCTCAATGTAGACATGGAGCCACTGGGAACTTATTGCATGCATCTGAAGAGCATGAATCTAACAACCAGTCTGTTGTCTATATTGGTGTGGATAATACACTTGCTGCAGTCATCCGCTTTGAAGATAAGATCAGGGAAGATGCTGCACAAGTTGTTGAGAATTTGACTCGACAGGGAATTGATGTATACATGTTGTCTGGCGACAAGAAGAGTGCTGCAAACTATGTAGCCTCTGTTGTTGGTATTCCTCAAGAAAGAGTATGTTCTTCTCTTCCTGCAATCACCTTAACTCCGTAAAAGTTGCATAGGAACTTATGATAATAAAGTGTCAAAAAACAGTACCTGATCCTAACTGATTATACAGGTGATATCAGGAGTTAAACCAGCAGAGAAAAAGAAGTTTATCAATGAACTTCAGAGAAATAAGAACATCGTTGCAATGGTGGGAGATGGGATAAACGATGCTGCTGCTCTGGCATCATCTGATATTGGAGTAGCCATGGGTGGTGGTGCAGGAGCGGCCAGTGAGGTGTCTCCCGTTGTCTTGATGGGCAATCGGTTAACACAGGTTTGTCATATTATTCCCACAACACCTGTACTTTTTTCATCATTGTTCTGTAAAGTGCGAGCTCTGAGTGAATACTACGTCAAGTTTATATAGTCAATGCCGTATTGATTTGGTATCATGAATTTGGACACATGTAGTTAATAGTTACATGATCTCTATGCAGTTGCTTGATGCATTGGAGCTAAGCCGGCAAACCATGAAGACTGTAAAGCAAAATCTCTGGTGGGCATTCGGATACAACATTGTAAGTTGTTCTGCATTTTCATGTTTTGTTCTTCTTGGTTGTGAATTTCTACTGAGTGAAGAATGTCTTGTTTTAAAAACGTATATAGGTGGGGATCCCAATTGCAGCTGGAGTGTTGCTTCCATTGACTGGAACCATGTTGACTCCATCAATGGCAGGGGCCCTCATGGGTGTGAGCTCTCTCGGTGTCATGACTAATTCTTTACTTCTGAGGTACAGATTCTTCTCGAACCGAGAAGACAAAAATGTCAAATGGGAACCTAAAGAGGGGACAAAGCAACCACATGAGAATACAAGGTGGAAGGAAAGCTCTTAAACCGAGCATTCCTCTATATGGACCTGGAGGCTAATTTTTGCATAGATAGATCTTTTTTCGTTTATTACTTCCTTCGTTTTAATTATTTGAGCTTGTAAGAGGACCAAAACACGATAATAATTTGAGGACCCAATGCTTTGAGCTTGTAATAGAGACTAAAATAACACATTCACGACTCTCACTGGTCTTTAAATCAGTGCCTTTGAGACTCCGGAATGTGAGTTTCTGTAATAGTGAATAAGTAAAATCTCATTGAGGAATGAAGAACCAAAAGGAAAACTCTTTTGTCAAAGCAAGCCCTTTATTATACAACTCCAATACAATAACCAGTCTGGAAAGAGCCAGGACAAATCAATCAATAAAAAAACAAGAACATAATCATACCTCAAACCTCAAAACAAAACAGTAACAAAAAAATCATCTTGTTTCTCCTATACTTTTATAACCAATAACATGTATGCAACAATGTGTAAAAAGAAAAAAATCTCTCACCCGAGTTGGTTTGTGTTCTTTCGCGTTCAGACGACATCATCAAAGTACTCCATGAGATTTGCTCGTAGATGAAAACCAGTTTGTTTGATCAGTGTTGCTTGCAGATCCTCCCAGAAAACCGGTTTACACCATGTAAGTCATTCCAACTTGCATCAAATGCGAATGTGGAACGCTTAGATTTGTTATCCCTCTCCTGCTGTTTTTCCTCAAGAAAGCATACATGTAATTTATTACCAGCTTCTTCAGAAACCAAGAATCCTTTGTAGCTCTGATATCTCCATGTCCCAGTAGATACACTACACCTGACTCTTTCGCTTTGTGTATAAACGACAACTCTTTTTCTAAACTCTGTTCCGCATCCAATGCTGGTGTTTCATTTGAAGGACCTGCACCAAAATCCATGCTGCTCCTTTTCTCTGAGGTTAGCTTGTTTAAGTCAGCCAAGAGAGGCACTCCAAGCGAATACACACTTCCATTGGGTGCTATCAAAACTCTGGACAGAGTCGTATCATCCTCTGAATCCGTATTATGGTCTCCGTCACTCTCAAGTGAACGCTCCTGCGCTTCCTTTCTTATAAACTTCTCTAGACTCTCAATCAAAATTTGCTCAAACGCCTGGTGGTTTTCCTTCCGCACATCTTTGTATCCGTACCTGTTTCAAAAAGGAGAAAAAAATACATCAAACATATACATTATCAAACAAAATTATTTTCCAAAAGCCTTTTAGCTTTGTTTACCTGGCAACACAGCGGAATAAATGATAGCTTCTTGGGCAGACACGTCTAAACAGAAACCTCTCAGTTTGTGGCACGCTTGGAACAGGGACATACTTTATACACACAAAGATAACCATTGAGTGGATTGCAGGTAGTGTGGTTAAGAAATGACCAAATATAGCTGGAACTCCTTTCGCTAGCTCGTTATAAAGAAGACCAATACCAGGTGCTCTAATTGTACCAAGATTACTGCCCAGTTCTCGCAGTAAGTCCATTGGTAGTTTTTTCTGAACTTCGGTTTCATACTTCAGTTTACTCCCGTAGTTCCAAACGTACATAATGAAAAACATGATTGTAGCAAAAACCAGGATTATCCAACTTCCGTCTGCCACACTTGATAAAACTGATGAGAAGAACATCAGTTCGATTCCTAGAGAAATAATTGCAAACAAGCACACGACTATGATATTTGTCTGCCAGATAAGAAGCATGATAAGGGTCACCAAAATTGTTGTAGTCATCATAATTCCCAGCTCTGCAATGCCTGCAGACACAAGATCCAAAACCAGAGGCATAATGTTTAGGATTAAATGGCAAGCTTAAGTTTCAATGCCATGTGACTTGTGTCGTAATACAATATCACATTAACTAAAATGGATTTCAGCCATTTTTAAAAAATTTACGCCAACCAGACGTTATGAGAAGGAAATATTACCATATGCGTTTCCAATCATGAAGATGTTAGAGATAGAGCAGATAACGATTAGGCACACCACCAAAAGGAACCAGTTTAGAACCGGTATATATATCTGTCCGATGAATTTCTTTGACGTATGAATGATCTTAAGACGTGGGAAACAGCCTAGTGCTATTGACTGTTTGATGCATGTAAATGTGGCAGTTGTCATAGCACGACTGGCAATTAGAGCAGCAATATTAGAAATGAGAAAGACTGGCCAGAATATGAAACCTGAAAAACAAAAAAAGAGTAATAAACAGTTAGAAACTTGAAATGAGCCGTAAATCAAGCCAGCAATGAAGGAATACTCTTGTTGATCTTGACGTACTGTGGAATCTAACGGATCTTACTTGGAACTGACGAAAAGAAAGCATTCCCAGCATGGTCGAAATTTTCACAAAGGTATGCCGCTTGACCCATATAACCCAACAAAAGGCAAGGTAACACCAGAAGGGTAAAGGTAAGCTGCATAAAAATACTACCACTGAATCAAAAGTTCACATGACTATTACAAGAGCAGAAGTAAGAAATGAGTTTTATCTCTTTAAAATACCTGGATCGAGTGAACCGAAAAATAGCTAAGATCTGCAAACATGGCCTCCGAACCTGAGACAAGATCCGCATGTATAATATAAGAAATAACATTTAGAAAAAAAAAACCAGTCAGTATATTTTATGCTTTTAAAAGTCTATCCCCGAATATGAAATAGAAACTTACCAGTTGCACACAGAATGCAACCTCCAAGCGCATACCACGCATTAACAGAGTTTCTCTTGAAAAAGAAATAGATGTGCGCAGGATTAAAAGCTCTAAAAACACTGCTGTCATATTTAGCAAGGTTGTAAATCCCAATTCCCGCAAGACAGAAGAACCACAGAAGTAAAGCTGGGCCCAAAGCAATCCCCAATTTGCTGGCTCCATATTTCTGTACACTGAACAAGATCACAAGAAAGCTGACTGATATCACGAGCACCTGATCTGCAAATGGAGCCACAATTAGAAATTATTCACAAAAAGCGGTGACTAATCCCTCGTAATGATAAGATTTATGTTTCCAATTAACGATAAGACACGAGAACGTTTCATATTTCCTAGTCACAAGCTGATGGCCGTCAACTACATTACGAGTTACCTTGTTCTATAGCACCAACTCCAACCTTCAGACCACCAACAGCAGCCATTACTGCGTCCAAAAAGAGATTTTAGTTAGATGCAGATCACATGTTACTTCATACATATCTGACCACAGGACAAGGTCAAACCATCATCTGCCAACAAATAATAGCAAGTACCGATGCTTTCAAAATCCTTTTTTTCCTATACCTGACATTGCAGGCGTAACAACGGCATCAGCAATCACCATAGCCGTGCCAGCAAGAACCAAAATCAGAAGAATCTTCTTCAACAACATTGACGCCTCTAGCTTTTCCTTTATTATCAACGATCTCTCAAGCTCCGGAGATGGAACCTTCAAACCAAAACCTGATATACGAGCATCTGATGGAAGCTGATTCGGGATAAGGCTAACATTCGCGTGCCTACAGATCAACGAATACAAAGCAAAAGTCCCACCTGCAATTCATTTCAAGACATTAATTCTTATCCCTCTCACACAAGATAGTGTAAAAAAAAAGAGAATATACCTTCACCATCGTCATTAGCCCAAAGAACAAAAAACACATACTTTACAAGAGGAAGCAACATCAAAGTATATATAACCAATGACAAAGCTCCAATTACATCTTCCTTGTCGTTTATTGGAGATCTATTGAACATCACACTGAATGTATACAATGGACTAGTTCCAATATCACCAAATACAACCCCTAAGGTCTGCAAAGCAAGTATTAGCTTCCTTCCTATGCTTGAGTCCTTCAAAATTAAAAAAAACACTTTCGCATTAGCTTTTATAATCAATCACACACACACGAATAGAGCCAAATCAAATGCTAACAACCTCGATGTCGTTCTTCTGAGCTCCAGGGATCTCAAGCGCGTCCACATCGAAAGAGTCAACGGCGGGGCTAGTACGAATCAAACGCTGCTCCACATTGTCGTCGTCCTCCTCGTCGGAATCAACGTCTCCGTGTTGACGCTCGTCTCCGTACCCGTCGTCGTCATAATCTTCGTCGTCGATCGCGTCGTAATCGTTCTTCTCGTCGAACACCCAACGTGATAAGGAGGTCGTGGAGCCGTCTCCGGTTATCTCGTCGTCCATCTCGGAGCCTCCGTCTCCGCTGCTTCCTTCTTCAACGCTAAACATCGATATGTTGAGAGAATCAGTGACGCGGGAAAGGTTAGATCTGTTGTGATGATTCAGATTCGTTATCTGATCAGAGATGGAGATTGAGAGAGAGGACCTGGCTCGGATATGAGGAAGAAGCTTACACGTGTCGTGTTGTGATTCAATTAAATACCGGTTTAGTTATAAACAAACCCGAATCAAATTAAATATATCGCGTGGTGATTACCGGTTTAGTTATAAACAAAACCGACACAAATTAAATATATCGCGAGTGATTACCGGTTTAGTTATAAACAAAACCGAATCAAATTAAATATCTCGCGTGGTGATTACCGGTTTAAATATAAACAAACCGAAACAAAACCGAGTCGTCGTCTTGGTCAAAGTTGGATTTAAATTAATTGAATATTTTTTTCACACTTGTGAAGTTGGAAGATGAAGTAAGCGTTGCGTCTACGTCTCTTTCTACACTTTTTAGCTAAGATCAGAGCGAGAGGAAACGAGAATCACTACTACTACCAGCAGTCATGGCTTGTGTTTCTTCATCTGTGGTTTCTTCGTTCTCGTATCAGTTTGGATCAAAAGAAACTATCTTTTCATCGAAAGTTTCCTCTTTGGTTTTAACGGGAAGGAGAGCTTTTGGATCTGTTAAAGCAGCTCAAGTGGCAAGCCAGGGGAACTCTAGACGACGCACTCAGAATGTAGAAGGAGATATATTTGTCGGTAAGTAAAGTATGTTTCTTTTGTTGCTGCGAATCTAAACAAAGAGAGATCAATAACGCACATTCTCTCTGTGTCTCAATCGTTTTTTTGCAGACAGTACTTGCATTGATTGCGATACTTGTCGTTGGATGGTTCCGGTAAGATTTTTTACTTTAAAACCTTTAAAAAGCTCTGGATTGTGGGTCCTTTGGTAATAATTTAAAAATTGATGAACAGTTCCAGGACTTGTTTGTTATGATTGAAGTATTTTGGGTCAGTTAGATTGGTGGGGTAAATAAGTTGTTGGAGATCTTTCGATGTGGGTATTGAGAAGCGGTGATGTCTTAATCTTGATCTTGTCATTTAAAGGCAGCTGCTAGTACAGTTTGCTATAAATCACAGCTATTAGTTTACATCACAAAGTTAGAATGTTCGAGTTATAGTTTACATTTGTTCAGCCAGTTTATTGGCGTTTTAACTGCTTTGTCTTCACAGGAAGTATTCACCAGAGTGGACAACATGTCTGCGGTTGTTAAGCAACCAACTTGTAAGGAAGAAAGGCTGAACGCTCTTCAGGTTCTTTTTTTCGACATAATCTGAATCTAAAGATATATCTCATGTACTGTTTTTCTGTGAAAATGTTTTTGTAGAATCTCATTGACTCAGAATTTACTTATGATGACAAGTTTCCATTTTAGATGATTCTGGACTAAATTCTCTGAGATTGTCCTGATTACTCATGGTATCTTGTCTCTTTCAGGCCTTATTGTCTTGTCCCACAGGCTCTATTCGCACTGAAATTCCACCTACTGACATAGGGGAAGCTCAAGAGACCTTTCCACTTGCATTGGACAAAGAAAAACTACCTGTAGTTTCTCATTCCTTAAGCTTTCTTTTACTAGGATAGTAAGATGATTATAAGCGAGTAATCTAACTCTGCTTAGATAATTTTGATACCTTAAAAATATTTTCAATGAGTTTGTCTCCAAGTTTTGAAAATAGTTGTGGATACAATAATCTTAAGTTCTTAACTGATTAAGCTCCACTGAGAACTCATACGTCACTACTACATGGTTCTTATATGTTGCCTTCTGTTTGGCTTTCTTCTTTCGCTGAGGCTTATAAATTTTGAAATTTGTATTATGCTCAGGGCGTTTTTCACTGTGGGTTTCATTCCAAGAAATCTTTTGGGGCAACTTCCTATTTGATACTTCATCATGAGGGAAATATACTTGTTGATAGGTATATATATACGTCCTTCAAAGCACCCCGGTCTTATTCATTGTAGATGCTATTTGTTCTTGATATACTTTGTTTTGTATTTTTATAAGTTTTGATGTTTGCTACAGTCCCAGGTACATAGAGAAACTTGCTGGGAAGATTGAGAAGATGGGTGGTGTTCGTTACATGTTTTTGACACACAGGTAGACTTGATAACACCAAAAGAGATTTCCATGGTTTCTCTTGTGATTACTCTCTTACAAGGATAAACTACTTCATTGTTCAGGGATGATGTTGCGGATCACAAGAAATGGGCAGATCGCTTTAAGTGTACCAGAATTCTGCATTCTGAAGAGGTATGTACTTTGAATCTATCGTACCTCTCTTGTTACACTTTTCGTTCTCAATAAGATCTCAACATGTAGATCCTTTGAGAAAAAGCTTGCAGAGTTACAAGGATCTTTTAGCTGATTATATGTTGTTCTGTGAAAAATATCAAAACGATTCTGTGTTGGGATAAATGTGAGAAAACTGGCTAGAGAAACAATTGTGTTGCAAATTCAGCTTTAGTGACAATAAAGGGATCTTGTTAGGTCCAACCTTCGACCTCTGATGTGGAGTTAAAGCTGAAAGGAAGTGGACCATGGAAACTCTATGAAGATGTCGAGCTTATACACACTCCTGGTCATACTGAAGTAAGTACGCCCACCTGCAAGAACATATATATAAACTAATATTCAATGTTTGTTACAAGGAATTTCACTATGATCATGGTATATAAGAGATTTTTACAATAAAATACAGGGATCCGTGTGCCTGTTCCATAAACCCCTCAAAGCATTATTTACTGGAGACCATCTAACTATGTACGAATCTGGAATGAGCATTATAGAGAAGTACAATCATTGTTCAGGTAAAGACCAATCTGGTTAGATGTTTTTGAATATATCCGTTTGTCAATAGTAATTGTTGTTGGTCTCTGGCAGTGCCTCTCCAGCTCGAGAACGTAGAAAGATTAATAAACATGGATTTCAATTGGGTATTACCGGGTTAGTGCATTTTTACCCTATGTCCTGTATCTGCTCTACTTAATGGAGAGTTTGTATTCTGATTAGCGATTTTATATAAAAAGGACATGGAAGAAGAGTTCATTTCAAAGATGGAGAAGAGAAAGCAAAAAAGCTGGAAGCACTTGTTCAGAAGCACAGAGAGGAACAACTTGTTTCTTCTAGCAAATTCGGCTATGCTTGAGAAAACTTTGTATACTGATTCTAAACCAGTGAATCAAACTAAATCAAGATGTTCTTCACTCTGTTTTTTTACAGAGATGATGACACACAGTGAGACTTGGGAAAGAAAATGTTTCAGTTTACCTTTTGCTTAATTCAAGTTATGAATCTTTGACGATAGTAATATTACCTAAAATGAATCATGTTTAATCCTTAATCAATTCTCCATCAATGGAGTAAATGCTTTTGACTATGACAAGACACCAAAAATAAACTTTGGTTTCTCCGTCTTTGTTGGAGCAATGCATCCACGTCTTCTCTCTCAAATGAATGCTCTTCAGATGCTTAGTCCCTTGTTGTCCCAGATTCGAAATACCTAACTTTCCTTTCATGGCATCCTCTCCCACGCACTTGTGCATCTCTCATGATCCTTCGTACTCCACGTCTCTCAATCTCCAAACCCAACAATCGGTATGTGTCAAGTCTCTCCCGCTCTCTTTCAGGTAATTTCTGTGGGTTTGTTTATCCTGTCGTTTTTTGATTCAGAGCTTCGGTTACAAGGACAAAGTAAAGGACTTCGAGAAAACCCAGTTGAGAATTCCCGCTTCTTTCAGGTAATTTCTGTGGTTTAGTGAATTTTCAGTTTGGAATTAGGACAGTATCTGTAGAAGAAAAACTACGGTGATGCATGCCTTATGTGTGTTGATTCTTAAGGCTGTGTAAGTAGATTGGTTTTGTGATGCTTCAGACAGCAAAACCTCTGTGGAGATGTTCAGTTATATTCCAAAAAAAATTAGAGGTTTAGCTTCTTTTGTGGTGTTTGTAGAAAAAAAGCTGTCAACTTGCAAATGATGGCATCAGGAAAGACACCTGGACTGACTCAGGAAGCTAGTGACAGTACTTATGAGGATAAAATTGATAGTGAAAATAACACTGATGTGTTTGACGACATGAAACAGCGGTTCCTCGCCTTCAAGAAGCTTAAGTACATGTAAGCGGCGGAGAAACTATATTTTCAGACTTTTGCTTCTTTAAATAATGGTTTATGGAGGTTTTGATTGGCTTTCGCCTATCTCACTCAATGATAATACTACTCATTTGAACAGGGATAACTTAGAACACTACAAAAAACTGGCAGATGCTCAAGCTCCAAAGGTAGATATAAAACTTTATATTGTCTATGGAATATGGATAGGGTTTAGATGTTTAACAGTTGTCTGGAGAAAGGGAATTGTTGCTAACACTTTAAGAAACAGTTTCTGGTGATTGCTTGTGCAGACTCTAGGGTTTGTCCTTCAGCCGTCCTGGGATTTCAACCTGGTGAAGCATTCACTGTTCGTAACATTGCAAATTTAGTACCTTCATATGAGGTACACAATCTAGTGCACTGCATACCGTCACATTTTTCTTTACATTTGATCGAATTGCATTTGTCTGTTGCAGTCTGGACCTACTGAAACTAAAGCTGCTCTCCAGTTCTCTGTGAATACACTTGAAGTATGTTTCTTATCTCTCAGTTATATATAGATACATACACCCCGTGTAATAAAACATGTGTATCAGTCACGTTTTATATGTTGCAGTCATTATGATTCTTCTGTCTCATTGTGTGATTGATCTATTAAACTTGAAGGTGGAGAACATCTTAGTTATTGGTCATAGCCGCTGTGGAGGAATTCAAGCTTTAATGAGCATGGAAGAAGTAGATTCCAGGTTCCTCTTGATCACCTCTTTATCACTCTACTGGAAAAAAAAACATTTCTTAATTGTTGATCTTTGGCATATTGCGTTTTCATGTTAGCAGAAGTTTCATACATAACTGGGTAATTGTGGGGAAAAAGGCAAAGGAAAGCACAAAAGCTGTTGCTTCAAACCTCCATTTTGATCATCAGTGTCAACATTGTGAAAAGGTGATGTCTTTTGGTAATCAGTAAAACTTATATATATATATATCTTCTGCTAATCGGTGATCTAATATACAATGTACAACGAGTGCAGACATCGATAAATCATTCATTAGAAAGACTGCTTGGTTATCCCTGGATAGAAGAGAAAGTGCGGAAAGGATCACTGTCGCTCCATGGTGGGTACTATGACTTTGTAAACTGTACATTTGAGAAATGGACCGTTGATTATGGAGGAAGCAGAGGCAAGAAAGAAGGCAGTGGGATTGCTGTTAAAAACCAGTCTGTTTGGTGATGACTAATGACCATCTCCATCTTCATAGTCTCTTTAATAAGTTTGAGAAACATCAGAGACCCCTTTACTTGGAATGGGATCATCTTGTGTGTTTAATTTGTTGCAGCTGTGTATTGAAAAGTTCATTTGGTAATTCTACGTCTTGTTGAGGCTTAAACTTTTGGGAGATCTCTTCAGGGACTAACGTTTGTTTGAATCATTTGTATGGTTTGTGAATTCATGTTCTTCATTTTTGTCCATTGTCATGGGAACAGAGGCATACAATCAATACTTAATGCAGTTATATATAGTTGCATTTTATCATTTACTTATTATATAGTTACAAATACAGTCAATACTCATCAAATCCTAGAGCCACCAATGCATATTCAGTTAGCTTTTGTTGATGATATTAATCTTCTTCATACATGAGGAAGAGTATGGTTACAATAGTTAAAATATTTTGAATCATATAAGCTTGGATGAGACGATTCAAGGGCTGACAGTGGGAGTAACCGGGAGAGAGGGCTGAGTGGAGATGGTTGCTGGTGGGAAAGAAGGAGAACCGGGTTTTGGAAATTGAGGGAATTTTGGGAAACCAAAACCGGGAAATTGAGGAAAACCGGGTGTTGGATTGCTCGGAAAACCTGGTTTTGGGAATTGAGGGAAAGGCATGGGGTTGTTTGGGAAACCTTGCCCTGGAAGTTGAGGAAAACCGGGGGTTGGATTGCTTGGAAAACCGGGTTTTGGGAATTGAGGGAATGGCATTGGATTTGTTGGGAAACCGGGTCTTGGAAACTGGGGAAAACCGGGTTGAGGGAAATGGTTTCTAAACATATTCGGTTTTAACGTTTGTTTATTGGTAAGTTGTTTTGTGGCATGGCTTGAAGTGATCATGAATGCCATGAGAAGAGAAGCTACTAAGAATATTTTAGATGAAGCCATTGTGTTTAGAAACAAAAGCTATTCAATTAACTGATGTATGTGTTTAGTTTGATTGTTTTTCCTTAATAGTCTTGGGTTTATATAGGAGCAGACTCAAAATTCAAAAGAGATATATTGTTACCATTTTGTTGTTATTCGTTTGACTGCATTTTCCTTTTATAGATATAACCTAATGGTTTCATCATTATAAAAATAGGAACAGGTAATATGTTGTTACCATTTTTGTTGTTATTGGTTTGAATACATGTTACATGCATTATTTTCCATCAACATCCACAATACACATTTAGAATCATAACCGCGGCTGTTAGTCCACAATCTGCTTCTTTCTATTTTTAAGCCTTACACATTTGTTGTGTAACCAAGGTTTGCATTATGTGGTTGATACTAACATATCAGTAATTTTCATTAGCTCCACGTGCTCACAAAATGTTAGATTAATTGAATAAGGTTAGTGAAATTATCAAATTGCAAAAAAAAAAAAAAAAAAAAAAAACAGTGTTTGATTAATCAAAAGCTATCATATGATTAAAACTGTAGACAAATCTATTCTAATTGAAACTTTTTGTAAATAAAAAGATATAAATATAGTAATTATTATACCAGACGCACAATTTCATGGTTTAACCGGGTCAGACACAAATCTATTCTAATTGAAACTTTTTGTAAATAAAAAGATATAAATATAGTAATTATTATACCAGACGCACAATTTCATGGTTTAACCGGGTCAGACACAAATCTATTCTATTGAAACTTTTTGTAAATAAAAAGATATAAATTAAGTAATTATTATACCAGACGCACAATTTCATGGTTTAACCGGGTCAGACCGATTTCGGTACGATGTTCCTAATAAATTTCAATTTTTAACACAAGGCAGAGACTCCAAATTCAAAATCCGTCGCACTGTGCGGAATACGTATCGATCCTTCTTTTCTCCGGCAGTTGGAACTCGAGCAACTCAGTATTTTTGGCGGCGATGACTCTGCGTTCAGTTTATTCCCGCGGTAAGCGCGAGAAGATCGGAGTGTTCGATTTCAGTAACGAGGATGAACATGTTGAAGAGATGTCGAAGAAACTCCTCCGAAAGTTCGATTCCCCAGAGACTAGCAAAACCCCTCGCGCCGTCGATAAGTATGACTTCCTTCGATTCTGTAAGTGTCTCCCTCGTCTCTCAATTTTCCATCGTCTTTTTTTTTATATAATCGATTGTGCTTTTAGTTACTTGAATTTTGCGTTTGGGAAGCGAATCGTTGATGCAAGGGTTGTTGTTCACTTCTCTCTGTGATGTATCTAAACTATACGCTACTGATCATCAAGTTTTACATGATAACGAAGATCTTATTCTTGTGTAAAATCATCAATCAATTGCAGTCGCGCAGGAGGACACACGAAGCGAGAGAAAACAAGTGGACCACATTGTTATTGATGTTGAAGGTATGAAAATTGTTTCCAAATGTGCATCAGCAATGACTTGAGTTTAAAATTTGATGATCTGTAGATCTGTAGTTTTCCTCCTCTACTCACTTACAGTTTTTGCCACTTTAAAACACTGGAATGAGCCTTGAAAACTACTGAATTATCGTCAGATGATTGTTTATATGGGTTACTGCCGAAGCTTGAGTTCGTCATCTAAGCTTGGCTAAACTAATTTTGGTGTATGCAGTCCCAGAAAAAGAAGAACAGTCAAGGTGTGAACTCAGCAGATATGAAACTGTGAGCCTTCTCATCCATTCATGAAGGAGTTACGATAAGGAAAATGAATTTCTGATTTTTGTTGTGCAATATATATTGTAGTGTGACCAGATTGATGTAACCTCCGATGACTCCCATGGAAGGATTGGAATTAATTCATCATCGTCATCATCTCTGTCGGAAAACGATGATGGTTAGTAGCTATTATAATATCCTCTATTAGTTTCAGTTTTCTTTGTTGTTTCTTCCCCTCAAAATTGGTTGATTTAAAGAAGCTTTCTCTGTATTATTTCAGCCTCAAATGAAGAAGAAGTCACAAATTCTACTTCTAATACACATGAAGTTGTAAGTCTTTTCGAGTATGCACTATTTGTTAGAGATAGGGAAGGATCAGATAAAAATGAAAACCATAGGCTTTTTTTTTCCTCTGAAAATTTTCTGATTTGCTGCCTGTCTAAAGAGTTATGGATGTGGGTTTATATTCAGAAAATATCTCATGCTTTTATATTTCTGCATTTACAGGATTCAGAGACTTCACAAGTTATCATGATCCCTGATTTTATTATATATGGAGAGATTTACTGTACCAACTCGAAGCTTACATTTTCACGCAACTGTATGAGAATTGAAAGTTCATCAGTAAATGCAACTACAGGGACATTTAGTTGTCAGTGGGAAATAGAAGATATCGTCAGAATTGAGTCTCAGTGGTGTTCAGAGGTGGTTTATGCTAAGATCTTCATTTATGGGTTGATGGGTTTTCTTATGATACTTGAGTTATAAATTTTCAGGTTGGGACTGCCTCGGTAAACGTACTTCTGAAGTCCAGGGACCCTAACGGAGTTGACAATGCGAAAGAGATTTCAGGTTTACCATATGTTCACATTTGTTTATGTTAGTGTTGTTTCAGTGCAAGGGGGTTTCTTAAATTGGAAATTGTTTGCTAAATAAAAAGCGTACACACCTCATATCTCTCTGTTTGGTAGCTTTTGATATTTACAACGTCAGCTCCAGTCTAACTAACGTATGGACCCATGCTTGACAGGCATTGATCTCCTAAAATTTTCCGTGTATGGCGCTAAATGGTCTAAAGAAGTAGAAACCATCAAACTGCTGGACTCAAGATACAAGGATATTTGGTTTGATACCATAACGTAAGTCATCATTATCACACCATGTGATCTTCATTGGAGTTTGTACAGTATAAGTGTTGGTGGCATCTGACTCAATTGGTCTTTTGCTCAAGTCCTGAAGTATGAATTTTTCTCTTTCTAATTTCCACATCGTGAAATGGACACAAATGAACAACACATTTATGTGATGTCGTATAAAAAGATGGCTTCCGTTTAGTTGTTTCCTCGTGAACTAGATAGATTCTTGGAAATTTCAATTGTACGAATCTTTTCATGAAAAGGACTTTTGACAATAGTAAAAAGGACCACGAAAGGTTTAAATCCTATAAAAGGTTAGGGAGAAAGATAATGAGAGAGAAGTTATTAAGACAGGAAAAACATATGGCAGGTTCTGACTTTTAATTTGTCGTTGTTGAATGTTGACAGAGAAAGCGAGGAAAGTGGTAGTAGTGGCCCCAATTTGGAAACTTCACTCACCAAGTAAGTATGAACTATAATATACTCGTGGTTCATAAATTTGAATTTTGGTAAATGTAATATGATAACTTGGTAGTGTACTCCTCTAACTTCTTATATGTTATTTTCTGACTTATGTATGGTATTGGTGACCTGAGACTTAGATGTGTGTAGAATTATGGGAGATTGTTCTATTAGTTTTTGAAGGCATGCTATATGATGAATGTGTTTCTGATACCCCTTCTAGTTATCTGGAATATATACGCTACATGTATATGCATGACATCATAACGCTTGGTGCCTTCAATTAATTTACATATTGACCCCGTTTAGTTTTATCTTACCTTTTGCCTATTTATATTCTGATCTTCAGCCTCGCTGGTTCGTTTGAAGATCTCGTTTACCCTCAAGGCGAACCAGATGCTGTAGTAGTTCGGAAGCAAGACATTGAGCTTCTGAAGCCAAGACGTTTCATTAACGATACAATCATTGATTTTTATATCAAGTAAGTTACTATCTGTACTCGAAGAGCATATACGGCCTACAAGCCAAAAATGGCAAGACTAGGTGCATTATGTTTTCATGTCAAAAGCAAGGTCACTTCTCGTATGTTTAAAATATGCAGAAACTGTAGCATGAGTAGATGCTTAAAAAACCTTGTCGTATTATATTTTCTTTCATTTATATTGACCTTTTCAATTCATAAGCTAGTTGGACGCATCTTGTAAAGTTTGGTTCAATATTTGCAGGTACCTTAAGAGTCGAATTCTACCAGAGGAACGGGGCAGATTCCACTTTTTCAATTGTTTCTTTTTCCGTAAGCTGGCTAACTTAGACAAAGGTTCACCTAGCTCGTTTGGAGGAAGGGAAGCATATCAACGTGTGCAAAAGTGGACTAAGGATGTGGATCTCTTCGAAAAAGATTATATATTTATTCCTATAAATTTCAGGTAAAAAAATACTGCACCCACATAGCTAATTAATTCTTACCGCTGATATGATGGTTTATCTTGCCTATGATTGCAGTTTTCACTGGAGTCTGATTATCATCTGTCATCCCGGTGAATTGGTTACTTCTTCTGGTAAGGTTAACTCACTATGTTATTACTTATGCTCGTTTTATAATAGCCTAAAAATAAATGATCACTCTGCTGCTGATGAAGTCGAAAACCCATCAAGGGTTCCCTGCATCTTGCATCTGGACTCAATTAAAGGAAGCCACAAGGGTGGTCTCGTAAACATTTTTCCGAGGTATGCTCGACAACGTTTCATTAAATTCACTAGCATCGTATTTACTCGTTCTTGGCATTTGTGTTTCAAGAGAACATATTATGTCAAGATACCTCTAAAAATAGTCTCGAGAGTTATTTCTGGTGTAGTGCGTGTGCAACTTATGCATAGGAGGCTAGTTACTGGTGTTGCGATTGCAGTTAATCATTGGTTTATTTACTTGAGAGGTCTTCACTAATTTTCCATCCATTTTATATGAAGATTTCCCCAGCCAAATGAAACGATTTTATCATGAATATTTGTTGCACCGCATGAGTAAATTACCTAAATGTCAATCATGTGATCACAGTTACCTAGGTGAAGAGTGGAAAGCGAGGCAAGGACACACAACAACTGATTTATCAAGAGTATCAAATATGCAGCTCATTTCACTCGTGGTATTGCTTCTAACGAGAGTGAAATTATCTTGAGCACAGATAGAAGGCTCAAAACTAATACAACTTTCATGATTGTGTAAATCTGGTTTTCTCATGATATTGCTTCATTTTACATTTCAGCTCCCGCAACAAGAGAATTCGTTTGATTGTGGCCTCTTTCTGCTCCATTATTTGGAACTTTTTGTTACTCAAGCTCCTGCTAAATTCAATCCTTCTCTTATCACAAGATCGGGAAAATTTGTAAGTTTTTTTTTCTCATCTCCGTTTGGATATGATGAAGTTGCACCTGACTTTCTGAACTTACCATATGAAATAAAATCAGCATGAAACAGTGATTTGAAGGGGATGTTCTAATTTATTTTCTGCATATTTTCAGCTAACTAGGAATTGGTTTCTTGCGAAGGAAGCTTCACTTAAGCGTGGGTACATCTTAGAGTTACTTTACAATCTCCACAAAGGTCATGATCCAAGTCTTCTTCCAGCTCATTCCAAAAGTAATCCGCCTCATTGCGGAGTTTCCAACACAAATGACGAAGAAAACGAAAGCAAGAATGTGACTGAGATCTGTAACGTGAGAAAACCATTTGATGGTTCCTTATCAATCGTCACATACATTCCTCAAACAAAGACTTGCCCTGAGAGTTCCAAGCGCCGGAAGTCCTTTATGTCGCCTATAGTGGTAACTCCTTTTACTATCTCGGCAAGTTAGTTTCCGATGATGATTATCATATGTTTTTCACCAATTATATACTTTTCTCACAAACCAGGAAGAAGTTGAAGAAAGTGGTGAGAAAGAAGAAATACATTTGCCAATGGACACAGAGGAATCTATCTGTCAAGAGATGGAAACATTGCGAAAAGAGGAATGCATGCTTTATATTGAGGACACTGATGATGATGAAGAAGCTGTTTCAGTAGAATACGTTTCTGATTCCCAAGATTCATGTGAAGTTGAGATGAAAGGAGCAGATGGTGATGATGTATTGTTTCTACTTACTGGGGCATCCAAAGAGATCCATAAAACTAGAGAAAGCAAATCTGCTTCAGCACTGATCCGAAAAGGAGTCCAGAAGGGTACGAGTAGAGATTTAGCTGCTCGTTCTTGCTGTAACAACATTCTTCTTGTGTTATCTGATGATGAAGGAAGCTCTGCCGCAAGCGATGAACATAACAAAGAAAACTTGTCTGTTTCAAGACGTAATGTGATGGCCAAGCGGCCAAAGACTTGATGATGTATATAAAAGAAGAATATCACCAAATCTCATGCGATGCTTTTGTGCTTTAGAGTTGTTACGTTGGCAAAAGTTATTTGAATTCATCCATGTATGAAGCAAGTAATCTACATCGATGTCTAGATTCATATTCAATACTGCTCGTCTCTACACGTTATGTATCAAAGGTTGATTTTCAACAGACAGAAAAAAGAAGCAGAGTTTATCAAAGTGGGAGGATGCAGAAACAGAGAGCTCACACTCCTTTACTACAAAAAAAAAAAAAAAGGAAAGAAAGAAAGAAACAGATCTCGTCCTTTCAAATGAAGCTGAAGCTGAAGCTGAAGCTGGTAGTTGCTATTCACACGTCGTCTCTACTGCGATGCTTCAGGAGTAGTTGTTCCAACTCTTCCCTGCGTCGGTCTATCTCCTGCAACAACAAGCTCCAATGATTTAGAAGCCGTCTGCTGAATATTATGATGATGATGCCAAGTATACTAAGGAAACTAGATGCAATACTTGCCTCGAGATCCTTGACGGCTTGTTCTCTAGAAATTTCCTTGTGCTGTCGAGCACCGATGCATAGAACTCCCTGAAGTTGAGACACAACAATCAGAGAGATTAACTGACGGTATGCCAATAGGGGGAAGAGACCGACAAAAAGAGACAAGAGTAGAGGCAAAGAAGATAGAATGTGACAAACGTACTGAGATGACATAGATAAGACCACAAGCAAGGAGCATGTAGCTAGCGATAAGCATGTAGCTAGCGATATTCTGCAGAAGCAGGAGATCCTTCTTCTGAGCCAGATAGTCAGGGAAAGCTCTTGTCATCACAGCAACACTGAAATAACCAAGTCAAACATTAAATTGTAAGCTTCAGGTCAAGAAAAGGTGTTTCAGGTATGATGACACACCAAATTGGCTGAAGCCAACACTAAAAACAAAATTGATGAAAGAACCACTCCAAGACAACAAGACAAGAGGAGGTAACTAACAAAATCTGAAGCATTCCTCTGCCAGCCCAGTACTCAAGAACCTGTGTAGTAATAAAACATATGTATAGATTATGCAAGTATTGACGAAAGGAAGCATTACTTTAAGAGACACGAACCTTGGAAAATTTGAGGATGAAACCCACAAAACAAGCAATCACCACAGCTGAATATTCCATCGAACAGCAATAATTTCTTATTTTAAGCCCAAGCAAAGGCCCAAAAATTAATTAAGAGAACCTATAAATATCTCTCCTATTTGATTCTCCCCAATGTCTGTAAAATGTCTTATTCTTCTCCTCTCCCCCGTGAAGCTGCAGCTATTTGATTGTCCCCAAGTAAGATCTCTCAGTCTATCTCTTGTTTACATCATCGGATCGGATCTCTTGAGCTGTGAGATCAAATAGATCATCGGATCTCTCGATGAGCTGTGAGATCAAATAGATCATCGGATCTCTCGATGAGTTCTCTCGATGACCTCTGAAATCAAATAGATCATCGGATCTCTTAATGAGTTCTCTCCTGTGAGATCAAATAGATAGATCTATATGTATTCACAGAAAACATGTGTGATGGTGATATCAAATAAATAGATCAAATAATACAATGAATATTGGATTATTATGTGTGAACATTGGATGAGTTTTCTTACTGGAGGTGGAAAGTTTTTGTTGCCCTTTATAGCGGATACACTCGACGTTGGGCGCAAACATGTATGACTCTTCCCCCAGAGGTGTTCCTCACCCGGAGTTGATTGGGTCGGACTATTTCCAACCAGGGCATGTTTGGCTCCTTGTTACTCGCCAGCCGAAGAATGCAGGCTCCACCGTTGGTGATATTGGAGTATGAACCAGAATTGGGAACAAGGAAACTTCAGTGCTGGAGGGGCAGCGCAATAATACAGAGATACAGGTTCACCTACAAACATCCCGCCCAAAAAGCGCACAGGATGGGAGATGTTGGAGTATATCCCCTGTGTCAGCACTTATACCACCAGTATTCCAGTCCAAGGTAGCTGTGAACTTGGTGTACACACCGTCGGATGATAGCATCCGGATCTCCGGCAATGGATATCTCATTCCGATTCTGTTTCCAGCAGAAAATGAAAACAACAACAACGGAGACGTTAACAACAACGGAAACATTATATCAATATTTCAAAAAGTATAAAACTAAACATAATCTCTTTTATTATATAAAGCATAAGTCAATCATGAATTCTCTATTTGACACGTGTCTTTAAAATATTTAAATGAATTTTTTTGATTTTTCTGACAATTTTCTCCGGTTAACTTTATTTTTTGAACATTTTTATAATCAAAACAAATAAATAATTACCACTATCCCTAAACTAACTCTCCACTTCTTCCACTCACCCTCTTCATCCATCTAACGATTGCCCTTTATATAAATTCTCCAAAGAAAAACATCTATCATCATCATTTTTTTATAACTTTTTTTTCTTTTCGTTTTATGGATTTAACATAACCAATATTCATCTATTGTTTTCTCAATTTTTCTTCCAGGTTTATCATTAAAACGTAGAAGAAGAACTTGAGGATGACTTCGAGACCAATAAACAAATTTGTACAAACATCAACTCATAAAAGTAAGAGAAAGTATATTCTGAAACATAAGCTCTTAATTATTAATGATAACATTCTGTGTTAAGTTAATCAGATTGTCAACACTTATAGTTACACCAGGTGTAAGTTCTCAAGAATTTTAAGTATGTAGTTTAATAACTGGATGTGTTACTCCTTTTTTGTATTTTTCCTTTCCACTATTAGTTTTTTTTTTTAACAACATTTTCACTATTAGTTTAAGTGTCCACAGAACTTAAAAACTATTGTTTAAGAATAGTGTGTATACTTCTGAACCTACTTGGTTCATTAAATCAGCAATAAGAAAGCCATATACTAACAAAATATTGAAACAAAACTTTAGTGTTCAATCCATTTAGAGAAAAAACTATATATTTCAATAGCGTTCATAGAACTGTGATAATAATATTTATAATGATATACTATACCAACATACCTTTAAATCAATTGGCTGCTGTTTATTACTTTCTGAAATTTTCATTGTATTGTTTATTATTTATTAACAAAACTAGATTTCAGAGTTTGGAGAAATTTTTTTTTTATAAAGATGTTTAGATGTCACTAATGACTCTATATGTAATTCTTTTTTTTTAACAACAACTGTATATAATTCCCTGTAAACATAGAACCCATATGCTTTAATCATAAGCACTGACTAGATTTTGACCCGCGCTTAAAAAGCGCGGAAATTTGTTATGATTAAAAATTTATGTAATTGGGTTTTATCTTAATTTAAAGAATGTTTTGGGATACAAATCAGTTCACCAAAATTTGTGGTGATGATTGTTATTCATTAGTTTTTAGTTTCAGTTTTTATTTTTAGATTTTGTTTTAGATTTTGGTTTTTATTTTTTAAGTTTCTATTTTTGATTTTCAGTTTTTGGTTTGAGTTTTTAATTTTTAGACCCACTGAGTTAAAGAAATTTGCAATAGTTTATTTTGTAAACAAATAAAAGCAAAAAAAAATATAACCTTTTTACAGTTTTCGACTTTGGATTTTAGTTTTTTAGATTTGATTTTTGGTTTTGCTTTACATTTTTTTTAAATCAGTAAATTATTTAAGAGAAATAAAACAATAAATTATTTAAAATTTACCATTGAAATTTATCAAAACAAAATGATTGTTATTTAAAATAAAAAAATACATTAACATGTTTTAAAGTACATGATTTAAATAAATAATTAATAAGAGACAATTTTGTTTTGTTTAAAAATATTAAATACCTTTTGGGCTTGAAAATAATAACTGATTTTTTAATCCATTAAGGTGGAAAGTTTATTCAATGTTTTTGGAGTTTTTTCTTAATATTAAGCCCAAAAACATAACTATATAATTTGTTCTAAAAACAAAAATAAGCCCAAGATTATATCCCATAAATAACCATCGGTTTAATTTAAGTAATGCGGTTCAATTAACTATATGACTTGTATTATTTGTAACATTTTAATAAGAGTCCAAATTTAAATGACAACTTCTATCAGTAGATAAAAAGAAGATAAAAAGAATGACTCTATTTTAATAGAGTAGATAACAACAAAAATTAATAAAATAATAATTCAAATCATATACCGTGAAAATAGTTGTGTTAATAGATTGTGGGGATCCTGCGGTTTCTTACGGTTGTTATGAAAATAAAAAAGAGTTATCAGATATAAAATTCATTTAAATAGGAAAATAGGTTCACTAACCAAATTATAATTATATATAGATAATAAATTATAAGACTACATATATCAATTGGTCATGTTACAATGTTACTCTTTTAATAGTATTGATATTTTGTGTGTTTTCAAAATATATTAATGTTTTACTTCTGAATCGTATATTTTTGGATCCATTATTTTCTGATAAATGAAAAAAAAATTGTTAATATAGTTGTCTATTTTATTTGGATAATGTTAATCACTTTTTAATATATCTTGGTTTGCCTAAAGCAAATAACAAATTATGCTGATTCTATTTCCCTGAGGCTTCCAAGCGCCGAAAGTCCTTTATGTCGCCTGTAGTGGTAAATTCCTTTTACTATCTCTGCAATTTAGTTTTCAATGCTAATTATATTATGTTGATGGCGATTCTATACTTTCTCTCGCAAACCAGGAAGAAGTTCAAGAAAGTGGTGAGAAAGAAGAAATCCATCTGCCAATGGACACAGAGGAATCTTTTTGTCAAGAGATGGAAACATTGCGAAAAGAGGAATGCATGCTTTATATTGAGGACACTGATGATGATGAAGAAGCTGTTTCAGTAGAATACGTTTCTGATTCCCAAGATTCATGTGAAGTTGAGATGAAAGAAGCAGATGGTGATGATGAATTGCTTCTACTTACTGGAGCATCCAAAGAGATTCATAATACCAGAGAAACCAAATCTGCTTCAGCATGGATCGAAAAAGGAGTCCACAAGGGTACGAGTAGAGATTTAGCTGCTCGTTATTGCTGTAACAACATTCTTCTTGTGTTGTCTGATGATGAGGGAAGCGATGAACATAAAGACAAAGAAAACTTCTCTGGTTCAAGATGTAATGTGATGGTCAAGAGGCCAAAGACTTGATAAATATTTTAAGAAGATGAATATCGCCAATCTCAAGCGATGCTTTAGAGCTGTAGAGTTGTTACGTTGGGAATGTTATTTCAACTCGTCCATGTATGAAGTAAGTAAGTAACATCGTTATGTCAATACTGCTTTCCTCTCTTTATACGTTTAAGTATCAAAGGTTCACAAGTGTATGTAACTTACAAAATCTGAAGCATTCCTCTCCCAGCCCAGTACTCAAGAACCTGTGTTGAAAGATTAAATAAATTAAAACATGTGTATAATAAATTAAGGAAGTACTGTATTTACAAAAGAAGCATACTTTAAAGATATTCATAGAACCTTGGAAAATTTTAGGATGAAACCCCATCCATTTGAGGGAGAGCTTGTGAGGGTTTGTGGCAATGGTTTAGGGTTTCGTGAGAGCTTCTTCTTCGGAGGGGAACGATGAAGAAGAAGGGATGGGATGGGATGGGATCCTTCACGCTCGCTCTTCAATTTTCAAACAAAAGCAATCTCGTAATCGAACCGGATTGATCGGTTATCTCGCTCGGTTCACTAGAATCCTGATACTACGACGTTTTGGAGTAACGCGCTACGCTTTTCGAGAGAAGCCAAAATAAAAGAAATTCCAAAGAGGTATATATGTTAAGAGGATGGCAGTGCTATTCACGCGCCATAATGAGAGTGGGTAACTTTGAAACATTGGTTTTGGACAAGAAATTTTATTTTTTTTGAAAAAATTATTTCATATTAGTGATTATATCAACATAATGTACAAGTTAAAAACTTTACTTGAGAGTTTTGAACATTTTAAAATTTCTAATTATCTTGCTCTAGGAACAATGTTGCTACTCACATAGATATCAAATAACAAAAATGTTTAGACACGGCGCCGCATTGCCAAATGAGCACATCAACGGCTTTTGTTCTACAATCATTGAAAGATCGTTTTGTTTATTTTTTAAAAAATATAGTTTCGATCCTGTAGTGATAGACTTTAGTTTTCTCAACCAACTGAATCACTTGTGCTTTGCTTTATAATATAAATCCAGATTTGTTCAGATTTGGTTGGTTAATTTTTGAGATGTAATATGATGGTCAAGAGGCCAAAGACTTGATATAGCTATTTTAAGAAGATGAATATTCGTCAATCTCAAGCGATGCTTTTGAGCTGTAGAGTTGTTACATTGGGAATGTTATTTTAACCATCCAAGTATGAAGTAAGTAATCTACATCGTTATGTTAATACTGCTCTCCTCTCTTATACGTTTAAGTATCAAAGGTTCGTTTTATCAAACAGACAAGAAAGAAAGTAAGCAGATTTTATCAAAGTGGGGAGGGATGCAAAAAAACAGAAAGCTCACACAATCCTTTTACTACAGAACTAAAAGAAACAGATGTGGTCCATTCAATGAAGCTGGTAGTTTGTTATTTCACACGTCGTCTCTACTGCGATGCATGAGGAGTAACTGTTCCAACTCTTCCCTGCGTCGGTCTATCTCCTGCAACAACAAACAAGATTCAAATGATTTAGAAGCCATCTGATGAATGAATGCTATGATGCAAATTTAAAACTAGCAATACTTGCCTCGAGATCCTTGACGGCTTGTTCTCTTGAAATCTCCTTCTGCTGTCGAGCACGCTTCAGAAAGCCGATGCATAGAACTCCCTGAAGTCCAGACAACAACAATCAGAGAGATTAACTGAAGGTACCGGAAAGTGACTGACTAAAAGAGACAGTAAGATAGATGCAAAATAAACTAATATGGAAAGTTAGAAGAGAGGTAGAAAGAATGTGATTAAAAAACGTACTGAGATGACATAGATAAGACCACAAGTAAGAAGCATGTAGCTAGCGATATTCTGTAGAAGCAAGAGATCCTTCTTCTGAGCTAGATAGTCAGGGAAAGCTCTTGTCATCACAGCAACACTAAAATCAACCCAAATCAAACAAACAAAAAAATCTTAAAAATCAGCCAAGAAATCATCTCAAATGCTTCAGACTTTCAGGTCAAGAAACGCTGATTCAGGTATGACACACTATATCTTGACACATGGCCTTGAATTGGCTGAAGCAAACACTTAAAAAAATAATAATAAAATAACCACCAGGCTCACTCCAAGACAAAGAGTATATCTAACTTACAAAATCTGAAGCATTCCCCTTCCAGCCCAATACTCAAGAACCTGTGTGTAATGATCATAGTAATTAAAACATGTGCATAAATTAGGTAAGTATTGTCGAAAGAAGCATACTTTATAGATAGATAGTGAAAGAACCTTGGAAAATTTGAGGATGAAACCCCATTCAGTCTCGGCGAGAACCACAAAGCAAGCAATCACCACAGCATAACACCGGAATATTCCATCAAACAGCTAAAAAAAAAAAAAAAAAGTTTCAGAAGACGAAGATCAAGAGAGAGGGGTTACAATTTATACATACATCGTGGCTATCTCGGAAGGAGCGAATAGCAGCGAGAACATTAACGACAACGCAGAGAATGGCGATGAGAGAGGTGACGAAGCTGAAACACCTGCAAACAACAAGGAAAGGATCTGCTCTGTTACTGAGCCGAGATCTTATGGCTACACCAGGAGAAGAAGGAGGCTCAGCAGCAGCAATTTCTTCGTGTACTACATCGGCCCTCTCCATCTGAAACCGATTTCCTCGGGATATACTCCGGCGAAGATCCACCGTAGATGCGATTATTAGTGCTTTGTTTGTGTGATTCTTTCACCTCCCGATCACGTTTCTCTTTCGTTCCTATTTTGGTATAACTGCTTTTAGCTATTTATTTATATACTCTTTTAGATAAAAAATACAAAGAAAACGGTGTCGTTTTGGGTTTTGTTCATTATAGTATAATAAGATCACTCCACTTGTCAGAGTTTCATTGGATAAGCACAAAATATCCCCGCCACGGCATCCTCAAGAGTCACTCCCGTTAAAAGACTGTTTTACCCTCGGCGTATCAAGCGCTTTTGATTCGGTTCTAAGGATCAGGGAAGATGGAAGAAGCAAAGGTTTCACATTTCCTTGTATATATTCATTTCTCATTTCTCAAGTAACATAGTAATAACTTTATGATGTGAAACGAAAAGATAGAGAGAAGCAAAAGTAAATCATTGAGATCTTCGAGTTCATCATTTCATTACAAACAGAAAAAAGAAGATAGAACGAAACAACTCGGAAATGGGGAGTTTAGGAAGTGGCGGCTGAGGCGGCGGCGGGAGCTTGAGGTGGCGGTGGAGATGGTCGGAGAGTGATCTCAACCTTGTCGTGAACGCCTTGGAGCAAGAGTTCTCCAGGGAATGTGACTATTTTGCGCTTCTTGGCGGCTCTCAAAGTCCCAACCAACGCTTCAAAGATGTTGGCACATCGATCATCATTGAACAACACACCAAACGTCACCTAAACCCAACACAAAAGAAACCAAACCAAATCCTCAACATCTTAATCAACCAATAACATTCACAGGAGAGAGAGTATTAACAATCTTCTTAGATCTGATCGCAGGAAGCAAAGAGAAAGATCAACTGAAGATCTTGAAATGAGAAAAGTAAATGGATTGAAAAACGATCTAAGAAAGAGCAAAGAAGACCTTGTAAGAGCCATCAGGCTGGAGAGAACCAAGACGATGGATCTCTTCCTCAAGTTTCTGAATCTCCTCTTCTACGTTCATTCTTTCTTCCTTTTTGGATTCAAAGCAGAGACCTTTTCCAACACAGCTCGATGGACAGATATTGATGATGATCTGTCTTTCTCCTCTCACGTCAAAACCAACACTTATGTCTGAATCTGATGATAATTGTTTCTTCTCCTATCCTTTTAAAAAGGACTACACGACCCCACATCATTTCTCTACTTTCCCAAAAATCTCACTCATGTTTATCTAATTAAAAAGCACCCCTACAATTTCATAAAATTTGCAACTTTATCAAAATCTGGCAAATGTTCATGATTAGACCTCCTTAATTTTATTTTACATGTTGATTAATTAGTTAACCTAGAGAGTGAAATGCGGCTTCTTCACGTTTTCCAAACACTCTACCCCAAGTAAAAAATATCTTAGTTTACAACAAAACCGAAATTAAAAAACAAATTAAAGAGCTTGATGATAAAGTAAAAACTCAATTATATAAATTAAAAAAATAAATAAAAGTCTTCATCTTTATCATTCATTCGTAACTCGCGAGAGAAGAGGAGGAAGAAGGATCTGTCTTCTCCCCCAATACACTAAAGCACGAAAACAAATCGACTATTTGACCTAAAAACCCTAATCTTTGATTCAAAATCCGATGTCTTCCGAAGAACTAACCACCGACTCTCCTCCTCCTCCCGCCGCCAGCAAAGCGGCGCCTTTAGGATCCTCCGTGATTCCCATCGTCAACAAGCTCCAAGACATCTTCGCCCAGCTCGGAAGCCAATCTTCAATCGAGCTTCCTCAGGTCGCCGTCGTCGGGAGCCAGAGCAGCGGCAAGTCCAGCGTCCTCGAAGCGCTCGTCGGCAGAGACTTCCTCCCTCGTGGCAACGATATCTGCACTCGCCGCCCTCTCGTCCTCCAGCTTCTACAGACCAAGAGCAAGGCTAATGGCGGATCTGATGATGAGTGGGGAGAGTTCCTTCACCTCCCTAACAACCGTATCTATGACTTTACTGAGATTCGTCGCGAAATTGAGGTTTTTTTTTTGATTGAGATACTTTTTTTGACCTAATTGAGTTTCGAGTTTGGGTAAATGTGTAAAGTTAACATCTTTTTGACCTAATTGAGTTTTGAGTTTGGTAAATGTGTAAAGTTAACATCTTTTTGTGACCTTATTGAGTTTCGAGTTTTGGTATATGTGTAATAAAGTTAACGTCTTTTTTTTTTTTTTGGTAGGCGGAGACGAATAGATTGGTGGGAGAGAACAAAGGTGTGTCGGATAAGCAGATTCGGTTAAAGATATTTTCGCCTAATGTGTTGGATATCACGCTTGTGGATCTTCCGGGGATCACTAAGGTGCCTGTGGGTGACCAGCCTACTGATATTGAAGCACGGATCAGAACTATGATTTTGTCTTATATCAAGCAGCCTAGCTGTTTGATACTGGCGGTTACTCCGGCTAATTCGGATTTGGCGAACTCTGATGCGCTTCAGATTGCTGGTAACGCTGATCCTGATGGTAAGTTGTGTTAAACAAGTCCAGTGAGGATGAAACTTGATTGCTTTAGTTTAAGTGTAGTATCTGACATTACTAATTTTCACTGTTTCCAGGTCACAGAACAATAGGTGTTATCACAAAGGTAAATTTGACAGACATTTTTTTTGGCTGCTCTCGTGTAGTATATTTCATGTGTACGATTGTTGTGTGCTATGTTTTCAGTTGGATATCATGGACAGAGGTACTGATGCTCGTAATTTACTTCTTGGAAAAGTTGTTCCTCTACGACTTGGATATGTGGGAGTGGTGAACCGTTGCCAGGAGGTAAAGTTGTGGTTTTGCTGACTCTTCCTTTACTTTTTTTTTTTTTTTTTTTTTCTGTTAGACTCAACCAAATCATTTCACTGTGGGTGATGATCTTTTGCTTTGAATTTGTGGCTCTACATTTTACACAATTGGTTAATTTCCGTTGATCTTTACCTTTTTTTTAACAGGATATTGTGCTAAACCGTTCTGTCAAGGAAGCACTTAGCGCCGAAGAAAAATTCTTCCGGAGCCGCCCAGTAAGTTGCATCATTTTGCGGAGTCCCTTCCTAATACTCTTGCGTTTGTCCTGATTATTTTGTTTGTGTTTTGTACTACACAGGCTTATCATGGTCTTGCGTTTGTCCTGATTATTTTGTTTGTGTTTTGTACTACACAGGCTTATCATGGTCTTGCTGATCGTTTGGGTATCCCTCAGCTAGCGAAGAAGTTAAATCAGGTATCTTCTGCAGTTTTAGAGTAATCTGTTTTTTTTTATGATGTTGAGTTTAATATGCATTATTCACGTTCTAGAGTTTACTTACTATGTTTATACGGATTTTCCCTAGTCTGGAGAAATGGCCTTTGCGTGATTTTCTTGCCCTCATCTCTGACCATCAGGATCATTGTTTATTATGAAAGTTGATATATATACTAATTATTTTGCTGTTGTTAGCTTTTTTTTTTCTCTTTTCTCAGTTGGTACTTATAACTGCAGAACATCACTAATCGAAGCTAGCCTTTGTGTTACATTTTTTTCTAGATCCTTGTTCAGCATATCAAGGTTCTGCTTCCTGATTTGAAGTCCCGTATAAGTAATGCTTTGGTTGCCACAGCTAAGGAACATCAGAGTTATGGTGAAATTACAGAATCCACGGTAAGTTCTTATTACCCAGTTTGCTGCTCATTTACCGAAGTCATTGTTAGTAATGACACTGTTTTTGACTCTGGTAACTACCATTTGTTCCACTTTATGGTGTCTTTTGCTCAGTCAAGTTTGAGTACAATTTTACTCTTCCAGACTATTTGCTCATGCATCGTCCCTTCGTTCATGTCATTCATGGAGTCTTTTATTTATTTTTTTACTACTATAAACATTTGAGTGGTAGAATTAGCATTTAAAGTGTTCTTATTTGCTGATTTCTTGCCGTTGGGTAATTAACTTGTTCTAAGTATACGCATTTCTTTTATGCTAATTTGTCATCTCTTTATGACTTGGTTCGACTAGTAAAACTTATCCTATTCTCTTGGTTTACTGTACTTGAAATCTTTAGGCTGGTCAAGGAGCTCTTCTCCTTAATTTTCTCTCAAAATACTGTGAAGGTAATATCTGAACCTGATATTTTGTTTTATGCTTTGTTTGGTTCATAGCGAGTCTCATGGTTACCTTTTTCAAACAGCATACTCTTCACTGCTGGACGGAAAAAGTGAGGAAATGTCTACGTCAGAGCTCTCTGGAGGAGCAAGAATTCACTATATTTTCCAGTCAATCTTTGTAAAGAGTTTGGAGGTTCGCTTGCACAACTTATATAACTTTTTTTTCCCAATCAATTCTTGTGAATTTAGACTTATGGACTTCCTTCACATTGCTTCTTCAGGAGGTTGATCCGTGTGAAGACTTGACAGACGATGATATTCGGACTGCAATCCAGAATGCAACTGGACCAAGATCCGCATTATTTGTTCCAGACGTAGGTTTCTTAATAATATGTTTCTAAGCATGTTTAGGACTTCCAAGCATACATGTTTCTCCTCACCTTTTCTAATTCCCAGGATATCTAATTACAGTCCTTTGTACCAATCTTTTCTGCATAGGTTCCCTTTGAAGTTCTTGTCAGGAGGCAGATATCTCGTTTGTTAGATCCTAGCCTTCAGTGTGCTAGGTTCATTTTTGATGAGCTCGTAAAGGTGAGGTTTTCTTTTTTTTTTGTTGATAAATAATAATAGTGGTGTTAATTTCGTTTTATTCATAATTATGAATTTATCTACAGATTAGCCATAAATGTATGATGAATGAGTTACAGCGCTTCCCTGTCCTGAGAAAGCGCATGGATGAGGTTATTGGGGATTTCCTGCGAGAAGGTCTTGAACCCTCAGAGGCAATGATCGGTGATATCATTGATATGGAGGTCTGTTTAATTAATTGGAGACTGATCTTTTGACATGTTGGTTGATTAGGATCCCTTTTCAATCTTGAGCAGTGATTTTCTCGTTTTTGGTTGATTAGTTCCTTCTAGATTTGAACTTAACTATTAGTGCTTGTTGTCATTATTGCCTCAATGGTAATGTTAATTTCTCGAGGGCTCTTTGCAGATGGATTACATAAACACTTCTCATCCAAATTTTATTGGTGGAACCAAGGCTGTGGAGGTTGCAATGCAAAACGTGAAATCTTCTAGGGTTTCCCATCCTGTGGCACGACCAAAGGTCTGACTTACTTCGAGAAACACATAAAAATGGTTGTGTGTTTCTTATATGCTCTGCAGTATTTCTTATACGTTTTATATGATGCAGCCGGAGACAGTGGAGCTTGAGAGAACATCATCTTCTTCTTCAGCAAGTCAGGTGAAATCTCGATCTTTTCTCGGCAGACAAGCTAATGGAATTGTTCCTGATCAGGTATGTCATAACTTGATGTAATATATGTAAATCGATTTATCTTCATGCACTGTGGGTTGGCATTAATTGTTGTTTTCGACACTTTCTCCATGACATATTATCAGGGAGTTGTATCTGCAGATGCTGAAAAAGCTGCACCAGCTGGTAAAATTTCTATTGCATGCAAGATATAATTTAGCATGTTTGAGACTTTTTTTTGGCTGCGATATATCTATGTGTTTAAGAGCTAGATATCCTGGGTAGACTTTAACTATAGTTTTATTGGATACTTGATAGCAAATGCGAATGATTCAAGGTGGGGTATCCCTTCAATTTTCCGAGGGGGTGAAAATCGGGCAGTTACCAAAGAAAACTTCTTGAACAAACCATTCAATGAAGCTGTTGAGGATACGTCTCAGAACTTATCGATGATCTATCTAAAGGAGGTGAATGTTCTGTGCTATCTTAGATGATATATATTTTCCCATCCATGTTTTACTTATTCAACTATGCTGTTTGCTTTGCTTTTCTAAAGCCCCCAGCTGTCTTGAGGCCATCCGAAACCCATTCAGAACAGGAAGATGTCGAGATTCAGATAACAAAACTGTTACTTAAATCATACTATGACATCGTGAGGAAGAATATTGAGGACTCAGTACCAAAAGCAATCATGCATTTCCTGGTAAGTACTTCATTCAGAAGTTATTTGCAGCAACTCAAACTCATATAATATGTCAGTACTTTGACATTTGATCCTTTTTAACTCTCTTTTTACAAATGAAAAGCAGTATTAGCCATCTTGTGCAAAAAAAAAAAAATGTTGCTGTCTTGAAGCAACTGATTTCTTAAGATACTGATACCAGTCCTATATCATACTCAGGTAAATCACACGAAACGTGAGTTGCACAATGTCTTCATCAAGAAACTTTACAGGTGATGGCTGTGTTTTGTTTTGATGCTCCACATGTGTTTGGATACTGGATAGTCTCTTAATACTGGGTAGTTGTAACATATGGTGCAGGGAGAACTTGTTTGAAGAAATGCTGCAAGAGCCGGATGAGATAGCAGTTAAGAGGAAACGCACTCGAGAAACTCTCCACATTCTTCAGCAAGCTTACAGGGTATGTTCTCAGCTAGACCTTATTCATTCAGCCAAAAAAAAACTTAATACAACCATATGGTTTGGAATGTCAAACAGACACTAGACGAGTTGCCTATGGAAGCAGAATCAGTGTGCAATAGTGGGACCGATACAACAGGTGTGTCAAAACATCTGGACTTACCAGCATCTTCTTCGATGTATTCCACGAGCAGTTCATCATACTCGGCATCTCCTTCTACGGGAAGAAGATCCAGAAGAGCAGGAGACCAACACCAAAACGGATATGGATTCTGACACGATCAAGAGAATCAATATATCTTGTCATAAGTGTGGACGCATTTCATTCATTTAATGGCTCTATAAGGTTTTGTTTTGTTTTAAATTATGTGTTGGGGAAATGAAGAATCTATATAGGAAGTTGAAACACTAGTTCTGGAGTCTGCATTGGGTTTGACTGTCAAGAGAGTTACAAGGGAGTGAAGAAAGTTCCCTGCAACAATAATGGGGAAGCAAACCCTTCCACACTCTTTATCTTGTTGGGTTGGGTTACATTAATAAGTGATACATTATTTCACTCTTCTATATATTTTTGTGGAACGAGCTTGAAACGTTTACCTTTCTATAAATTTTGTGACATTCCGTTTTTATATCAACATTTTTTGTTTTTTTACAATCCAAAGCTATTTGTTATCCACTCACTAAGCTAACAGCCAAGAGACGATTGCTTATTCTATGGTTTAGATTAGAAGCTTAACACATGGCGTTGGTTGGCATTCTCCATGTTCCCTGGTCCCGGATATGTTGCATTATCCACCTAACTAGTACGTGGCCTAGTATCTCTACGCAAAAATGTTTGTTTAGATGATTGGTTTCTAGTTGACATTTAAAGACTTCCCAACAACACACCGACACATTTTCTTTACTTGTTTGCCTATAAACGAATCAGAATAAATTCTCTGCAAGAATATGATGAGAAAAGTAAGAATGCTGTGGCGGTTGATGTTGCATTTACAACAAGTAACTACAGATTTAAAAGAAAACTCCATAAGGTTAATCAATTAAACCCCTTAGTTTTGATAAGCTAATGACAGAAACTAATAGAGAGAACACGGATTATATATCAACCAATCTCTAAAGAACAAAGTGTGGGGGCTTTTATCAACGTTTTATTTATACTTTCCGAAGAACACATAGCTTGTAGGATAATTAATCATATTACCACTCATACAACACTTATTATATAAACCCCACCATAGACAAATAAAAAATACAAAGAAAGAGAGATTTAAAATCTTTTTAACATAGTTTAATCAATGCAAATAATGGTCGGGTCGCAGCAGCATTCATCCACAAAGCAGCAACAACACATGGCCGCAAGTCTGCAAAACCAAAAAAAAACACAAATTACAACGGTTTTAATACACAAACTTCTCTCATAATATCAACATTGCAACATGCATTCATAAACACTCCATAATAAGATCTTAAAACTGCAAACCTTGCATTTAACTCCATATAGTTTTGCTAAAGCTAATTATAGAAACCAAAACAGTCCAATAAATATTAGTCACAGTACTTACAGTCCCTCAAGAAAACCAGCTTTCTTTCTTGGCGGCGGTGGTGGCGGCGGTGGTGGAGGATAATACTGCGGTGGTACTCCCACAGGAGGCGGTGGGCCTTGAGGGTAACTTCCCGGTGCAGGGTAAGGATAAGCATACTTTGGTTCGCTCATATTTTTGCTAGATGACCAAATCACTCAAAGGAAACTGTAGTTCTTGAATAGTAGCAAATCTTATAACTTTGGAAACAGAGCAAAAATAATAGTGAAGAGAGACAGAGACAACACAGATTGTGATCTTTAGAGCGAAAATGTGGGGGCTTTGTCGACGTGTATTTATATTTGCCAACGAACACAGCTTGAAAGATAAGTCTCATATAATGTATTGTTCGGGTAAGAAGATTTTATTGGAGCCTTTGAGAATAATCTTGAAAGTACAACACACAACCACTGTCAAAGTATAGGGAATCAATGCTCTTTGGTGGAACATTCTAGTGTGTGCTGCACGCAAAACAAAGCAACGTGGTTGCTTTCGTTTTTGGAGCGCTTCTTTGCAAAGTTTTTATTCGGTTACATTTCTCATAAAATTGTTCACATGTTGGTTTTCTTTTTTAGGTCTCTTTATCATTTTACAGAACATACCCGTTTGAAAATAAAAACTCAGGAAATAAAGTAAAAAAGTCTAACTCGATCTTCATTTAAGAAAAAAAGGAACAAAAAGGAGTAATCATTTTCTAATCTGCTTACACAAATTGTTTATTTGGTTTGTTTGATCTCACATGTAGTGGGTTTATCTTTTAGCTTTTATGTTAATGGTCCCAAAGTCTACCACTAGAGAGTGGCGCACAAGTTCTTCTTTCTTATGATAGCATCAGCAACTCGTTAACAGTGTCAACGTGTCATAAAATGAATGGTTTATATTTAGATATAATTTTTCTTAAGAAACAACTAAGGTCGGTCCCATGGAAACACCCACACCTAATCTCCTTTCATTCTTTATCCTCTCTTCTTTATATTAACGCATGAAACATGCAACCCAATCTATTCACTTTGCACTCAAAACCTCCTATAACTTTACAGGTTTAAGACCCACCAAATGGCACCATCGGCTGCGATGTTCATGCTCTCCTATCCTCCTATTCAGCAGATAACAACAAGAATAACAAACAGTTCTATGCAGCCACAACAGGAACCGGCTCTGCCAGTAGTTAAATGTCATCTTCCGGCAAGAAGCTCATCAGAAAGTTCTGAAAGTTCTCGTTCTCAGTTTATTCTTTGGCTGTTTGGTGATCCTGCTACGTATGACAAGAGGTTCCAACGAGCTGTTGAACTTAGTTGCTCATGATGGAGATTCTTCCTCTACTTTCTTCTTTCTTGTGTGTTATAAATGTAACATATTAATTTCTTCTTCCAAAATCTCACACTGTTCTGTAATTTTATACAATAATGAAACCGTTGGAAGATATATTGCTTAGTTTTTTCATACCTAACAAACTTGAACTGTTATTGACATATCAAAGCATTCCAAGAAGTAAAGAACAGAGTTGAGCTTTTACTTCTGTTCGATTCCACTTGGCCATGTCAGATTCTTTACAGGCTCGAGAATAGCTTTAACCTCAGACAGAGTTTCTTGATCAATTCCCAAACCTTGAAGCTCTGTAACTGCTGCAACATTTTCTTCTACCTGATTACAAAAACCACATATTGTTTTAAATATTGTTAACTCTAACTCGCACATAATATATATGGAAAACATCTGAGATGGATTCTTCAGACGGAAGTCTTAAGCTTGGATACCTGTGAGACAGAACTCATTCCAACCAACACAGACGAGATCTCCTTGTTTCCTAAGCTGTATTGCAGTGCTAACTTTGTGATCTTCTTACCCTTCGTTTTACAATGAGAAGCAGCGGCTTTGCATGCAGACTAGACAACAAAACCATAAAAGCAGCAACAGTGTTAAAGAAAAGAATGTTAAACAAGAATTGAATTCTTTACTACATGTCAAAACCTTGAGCTCTTGGGGAGCAGGGTGCCTTTCATGAGGACCTTGTTCTGTAAGAAGACCCATTGCTAATGGAGCAGCACTTATCACACCCACACCTTTGCTCTTCAAGTAAGGTAACAAATCGAATAAAGTTGTATCATTCATACCGTAATGGCAGTATGATAATATCACATCCACTGTCCCTGGAGGCACACGGTCAAGAACGTAAGTGAAAATGTTTAACGGAAGACCAGTGATACCAATAAACTTTGTCTTCCCTTCCTGTTTCAGTTTCTGGAGTGCAGGAATGGTTTCACTCACAATCTATCAGGCCATGAAACAAGAATTAGAAAATATTGGCACAGACACAGACACTGAAAAAACTAAGGAGAGAACCTGATCAAGAGAACCGAACTCAATGTCATGGCAATGAAGTATGTCAAGGTAATCTAACTGAAGCCTCTCCAGGCTCTCATCAATGCTCTTTCTTACTCTCTCAGCACTGAAATCAAAACCTTCTTTATATCGTCCACACTTGGTCGCCACAATGTAGTCACTTCTAGGTACATGTAGAGCCTTGAGTGCCTTACCAAGCATTTTCTCTGATAGTGTTCCTCCATAATACCTTCACAGTAGTGAAACTTTCTCAGAAGTTAGTTTGAAAAGATGATTGAAACTGTTGAGAGATGATCTCCTCAAGAACAGATAGAAGAAGTGATTACGGCGAAGTGTCGAAGAAGTTAATGCCGAGTTGGAAAGCATGGCGCACGGTGGCGATGACATCATCTTCAGTGGCTTGACTTAAGACACTTCCAAGCGGAGAGGCGCCAAAACCAACTGAACTAACTTTGAGACCTGTGTTTCCCAGTGGCCGAAGCTCTATCTTGGCCATTGCTACAGAATAACAAGAATGCTTCTCATTCATTCAGAGATAATGTAGATGAGAAGTCAACGATCTTTGTACACATGGTGCTCAGCTAACGAGAATTACGAAAATAGCCTTTTCAAACCAAAGTAAACATGACTAGAATTTTTCTTTCGTAACTGATTGAAAACATTTGTTACTTAGTTGTCTGCAATTCAAAAAAAAAAAGGAGACAATATTTATTATTTCAATCCTAGTTCAAGTCATTAAATGAATGATGAATGATTACAAGAATCATTCTCATTTGTAAAGCTGCTTGAATCTCCGACATGCCTCCAAGATATTCTCTCTGTGACCAAAGGCGCTAACACGAACAAACCCTTCACCTCCAGGTCCAAATCCACTCCCTGGAGTTGTAACCACATGAGTCTTCTCCAGAATCTCAGCAAACACATCCCATGAGCTTTGGTTCGGGAAATGAACCCAAACGTAAGGCGCATTCTTTCCTCCATATACATTATATCCGAGAGAAGTGAATGTGTCTATGATTATGTTTGTGTTCTCTTTGTAGAACCCAACAACCTTCTGCATTGCCTGCAATGTTTTATAAACACCAAAAAAAAAAGAAAAATCATATTGAGTATATTACTTGTGGGAACTGTGTTAAGGTTTTGAAATCTCTCTTTAGCTTAAGTAAGGTTTTATAAACACCAAAAAAAAAAGAAAAATCATATCGAGTCCTTCTGGCGTGAGGCAAGCAAGAGCACCAGCTTGAGAGATATTAGATGCACCGTTGAAACAAGTGCAGACGATTCTATTGAAGTCTTTTGCAACAGGGAAGCCGTCTGAATAGAGAAGCTGTTTCGGGATGACGGTCCAACCAAGTCTAACTCCAGTGAAACCAGCATACTTACTGAAGGAAGCCGTCTCCATAGCGACCTGTAAGGAGTTGTGACCAATGAAAGTTAAGAAAATGGACCTTTTGAAAGTTGTAATCAGATCATTTTATTACCTCCTCTGCTCCAGGGATTTCGAAAATGGAGCGTGGGTTGTCATCAGACATGTACATTGCATAAGCTGAATCATACACTATGATTGATCCATTTTTCTTTGCAAACTGTACTAACTGAGTCAGTTGCTCCCTCGTGGCAGCAGCACCGGTAGGGTTATTTGGAGAACAGAAGAAGATGATGTCCGTCCTGCCAACAGTGGATAGGTCTGGGAAGAAGCCATTCTCTGGAGTGCATCTCATGTACTGTATGTTTCCGTACTTTTGTACATCTGTGTTAAATTGTCCGGTCTGACCCATAATAACACTGGAGTCCACATAAGCCTAAAGAAGATGAGAAAGAAAGCAAAGTCAAAATGTTATACAGAAGCAAAAACAGACAAGATTGCAACTGCAGTTTGATTTCAGATTTGTCCAATTACCGGATATGAAGGATCTTGAACGGCAACTGTAACATTGGAACCAAACATAACCTGGGACAAGTGGAATAAGGAAACAGCTGCTTAGTTCTCCTGATTTTGTATATCAGTTAAGGATGAAACAGTTAGCAATTAAGCAAACCTGAAGACGTGAGATGTCACATTTGGCACCATCGGAAACAAAAATGTCATCTTCCCCTATGCCAAGGCCACTGTAGTATGTTTTCGCAAGAGCAGCCCTCAATGGCTGTTCAAATGTGTGAGATCAAGGTTTAGTTGGGATTTAGCAGTAGTTTAAGACTATACACATGATGAAACTAAAGTTGCAAATGACATGATAATAAAACAATGCATAAGGTGGCAATGGCAATAAAGCGTGCACTGACCTTTGCACCTTGTTCAGCGCCATAACCACTATACCCCTCTAGTGTGGACAACTCATGAGCTTTCTGCCAGGGAAAAAAAGACAGTCAATCTCTAGGATTGTTTCAAAAAAAAAAAATCAATCTCTAGGATAGTTAAACACAATGTGCTACCATAACAATTTATATAAAATTTTCATTGTTAGATGGCAGAGAAGTTCTTGTCCATCAAAAAAAAAAAAAAAACAGAAAATGTACATCTTTTGTCAAAATGAACCATCAAGCAATTGCAGACTAGGGGAGTATTAGTAAAGTCAATTAAAAGGTACATGAAGATGGGTAAGAAGAAGAGGTACCTTTGCCATTGCAGAAGTGATCACTTCTGGAATGGGCTCAGTTGTGTCGCCTATTCCAAGACTTATAATTTGTGCATCTGGGTATTTCAGCAAGTGTGCAGACCTTCTTCTTGCAATCTGTTTGCATTTCCCCAAAAGAGAGGAGCATCATATAGATAGACAAAAGGGATGATATAACTAATTACAAACAAGTAAAACCAAAACAGAAACAGAAACAAACCTCTGGGAAGAGGTAACCAGCCTGAAGTTTTGACATGTTTGAATTCCGTGACACATTTGTCTTATATTCTACAAACAAGTAAGACATAACATTTCTGAAGCAGCAAAATATAACAAACAGCTAAAGAATCAATAAAGCATTAGAAAAAATAAACTAATCATTCCAGCAAAAAAAACAATGGGGAGTTTATGTGGTCCAAAGAACAAGAAGAAGAATTACCAATCTTATCTTGTGGGGTAGCAACGCACTTGCAAGTAGTGTTGACCCGTTTTGCCGTGGGTAAACAAGCGTTGTTTCGAGTTCTGAAAAGATGACAAATGTTAAAATCATGGCAAGCAAAATGCATTTTGTTCAAAGACAGAATCCAACAATGGTTACTAGAAGTGTGAGCTCTAACACATATTCATCCTCCTAGAGTGTTGTTTATAAGCAGTAAACATATAAGTAAAGAAAAAAAAAGTCAACGCACCTGAGATTAAAACTTGAAGAGGCTAAGAAAGTGGATGAAGAAGAAGAGATCATCGAAGAAATTGACGACATTTTTTCACGCTGTGAGCTCAAATGGTTACACAGAAATGTATTTGCAGGAAACTTGAGACGAAGAAACTTGATAACAACACTAGGGTTCTTCTTCGGTTTGGTACGAGGAGAAACCAACCCGGTTTATTCCAATAATTATCTCTTTCAAACCAAACCGAAACTCCCTCCCGTTCAATTGAAACAAATGAAGCTATAACTATCTCTTCGGTTTAGTTCGGTTTACCAGAAAATTCTCGAATTCAATTGTCCTTTAGCCTGATTTTAAAACCTACGAATTTCCCTTTTCTCTGTGCAAAATTTATCAGCGCCAGCACGCCGAGGAATCGGACGATTCTGCGAAACTTGAAGTTCGATTTCGTGGTAAACAATCTCCTCTTCGATATTAAGTTAATTGGTTCTCCAAGGGAAAGCAGTTTTCGGTTATCTTCTTCTTCTTCTCGTAGATTTCGATTTAGAGTCGTAAGAGCATAGATTTAGTGGAAATTTGAACGCTTTATGATTATTTAAGGTAGCAAGTGGTCGAATTGGATTTAAAAATTCAAGCTTTAGATGATTCTCACAAGTTCTCAGCCTTCATCTTTGATTTGGAAGGTCTCAACTTTTTTTTTTGTTTTTTCAAGAGTTGCTTCTTGTGGGAGTTAGATGGATTTGGAAACTGAGAATCGAATAGCTTCGATTCTGTTAAGAGAAGCAGCGGAATTGAGGAGACAAGCTGAGAAAGACGGAGTCCGAGCTTATCTTGAGAAGCCTAATGTAAGGCATCGACCTAACTCTAGGTTTCTCACTGCTACTGTTCTTGGTGTTCAACAAGGTATTCTCCTCTCTTTTTTCCCCCTCTTCCACTATGTTTATATTTTGGTTTCTCTAAAGCTGGGATTTTGACAATGTTGGGCATGTTTTTTTTTTGTGTTGAGAGATCATTGGGCACTTTTATCTAATAAAGAGAGAAACTAGAGGCTGTTCTACTCTGTTTCTGTAACTATGTATTCTCATGTGTTTTGGCTTTTGATTGAACACTAGTTGTTTAGTTCATTCTCTTATATGGTTACTTCTTTTGAACCATACAGCAAACAAAGCTGTAGAAACCGATGAGATGTGGAGGCTTAGGCGCGCAGAGATTGAGTTTGATGAGAGGCTCAAAAGAAAATCAAGAGAAGAGAGCAGTAGTGGCCAGAGTGAACAGAACAACAGGAGGAGTTTTGTTAAGAGATGCACGTCAGTTGATGAGAATGCTGCTCGTTCTTCACCATCGTCAAGCCAAAGCAGAAACAAAAGATGGCAACCCGATGATGATGATGATGATGGAAAAGGGTTGGGAGATGTCGAGGTTGAGACTTTTCTGCAGTCAAGGTATGTCCTTTACACTCATTGTAGATCGCAGATGCTGCCTGGTTATGTTTTCTATAATCATGTAACGAACTGGGAATCACCTTCTGTTGATAAAACTTGTGGATATGGTTTATGATAGGGTTAAGCGTGGCAGAGGCTCCGTTGGTCCAAAGATGGATGAACCATTTCCTTGTCTTCCTGCAACGGAACTGTCTAGAACTTCTGATGCAGGAGATCGCAAGTTAGTTGTACAGCCAGAGAGACGGCCTATAATGAGACATAACACAGATTCTTCTTCTTCTTCCGATGATGAAGCTCATGGGCGTACTTATAGAAAAAGAAAAGAGCATAAGCAGAAACTTAGTAAGAGGCACAAGTCAAAAGACGAGAAAAGAGATAGGAAGGAGAAGAGAAGGGAAAAGAAAAAGAGAAAACATGATAGGGACTAGGTCTTCTTCTTCGGACAAAAGCTATTGCACACGTTGAGAAGTGGACGTTTCTAATTGGAGAGACGAAAGAATGTTAAAGTTGGATGTTTGCTTATTTCAAAATGTTATACAAGGGATGGATACGGAGAATGTTTACTCTATAATGTATGTTCAATATATATATAAACTTTTGACGTCTTTAACCCTTTCATTACTCTGCATATCACACTGATTACATAAACCATTGTATTACTTTCTAAAAAAACAAGGGAACAATTACAAACATTTTTAGTTTTTACTACATTGACACAGCCGCAAGACAAGTAACGAAGCACGAAGGCTGAAAACAAAGACATATTCATAATTATCAGTAGTCATGCACTGTCACGAGTCTTCAAAATGGTGATCTGTTTCATCAAAGATCTCCTCCTATAACCACAAATCACAAAAATATACACACAATTGAGTGAATTATTTGGTAACTCCTATGGAAATAAACATTCATTACCTGCAGAAGTTCCTCAATAACATCTTCCATTGTAATGATTCCAACAGCTTCTTCTTCCTCGGCTAGTTTAGGCAGCGGATTGCCATTTAAATGCAAGATGTCTGCGTCATTGTCCTTTGACCACTTCTTGGTCTTACTTCTCTTAAACGAACTTGCTCGATTTGGAAAGCTCTTCCACTTCTGAAGCGATCTCTTTGTCCTTAGCATTCTCTCGTGAGGAGTTCCCTCACCATCCACATCCACTTGTACTTCCTTAACACTCTCTGTTAGACACCAAAAAAAAAAAGATTCTCAAACTTGAAACTCAGAAGCACCATGTTTTTTTTCCCAACTAGTGAAAATTGCGTACCGTCTTTAACATCTTTACAAGGTAACGGGTGGATTTTGTCGCATTGCCTCACCACAACAGCCATATGGCTGAGTCCTTTCTGGAACTCATTCAATATGTCATACAAAGGCAAAGTTTCTGGTACTCTAAACAAAAAGCAAAACATCAGCTTTTGTCTCATCACACCCAATGGGATTAATAGCTTAGGTTCGGAAATTTCACCTCGGAATCTTTCTTATTGTGACACTCTTGACGGGTGTTTCATCATCTGGATTGATAGTCAGTAAGTTCTTTACCTGAAGATAAAGATATGTATACGGTTAGAAGTAGACATGTGGGCAAAATAGCCAAACACCATAGAGGAAAGTATCTGTCTATGTGAGTTAAGTAATGCATGAGATTGAAAGTCACCAGAACAAGGCCGATAATGTTAATTGGCTGCTCATAGTAAACTGGAACTCTGCTATGTCCTTTCTCAAGAATCAAGTTCATCAAATCCCTATAATTATATCAAAGGAAAACAAAAAAGAAGAAAAAAGCCAAGTATGAGAAGAAGAATAAAGACACCGGGAAAGTATATCTCTCATATGACAGTGCTCCTAAGAATCACAGCACAAAACCTGTCTAATTTAGCATTGATATCAATCACAAATATATCAGATATTGGTGTCATTGCATCCTTGACCATTTTCTCAGAGAGTTCCAGAGCTCCTGCGATGATTGTTGTTTCGTCATGAGTCAGCTCGCCGCCCTTTCCAGCCTGAAAGAAACAAAGATTACTGAATAACATGACATACAAGGGATACATAAACTTTGACCATCTTGAAGATGGGATCAATTTAATACCTCATTTCCATGAAAGTCTACAAGTGTTTTCAGCTCAGCTCTTCGGAAAAGCGCTGCACGACGATGACCCAATAGAAAGTCCAGTAGCTAAAGGACCAAAAAAAAACTTATTATAACGAGACAGCCAACTAATCCATGAGGAGCTGGGTGAAGTGAATTTACCTTGCTAATCGGCCATGCAACTGGTAAGCAGACAAAGACTAGGACGCGGACAAAGGGAGCTACTGTTGCACCAATGGCCAAACCATAACGTGTACAAATTGACTGAGGTATAATCTGCAGTTACAGTAAAGCCAACAATGTTAACATCTCAGATACAGGAACGTGACGGAAAATGACCAGAGACGGTTTGATTATTATAACAGGAGAGGCTAATCTTTACCTCACCAAAGAGAAGAATCAATGTAACTGAGATCAAAATAGCACCCCATGCCGTGACAAGAGCATCAAGAAAAATAGGAAGCGTCTGAAAACATAAAAATCACTACATAAATCAAACATTCCCCAAGACCTATAATCACACAACACAGGAGAAGGTGACATTTTAAAACTTTTACCTCCATAGCAGCTGCATTGCATACAAGTAAAGTGACAAGCAACAGATGCTGGTTCTTCACCACTGGCAATATCTTTTCTGCAGCAAACAAAAAATGAAAAAACACTTCCCACATCATTCATGAGATTAAGTAAACAAAGCAGAATGCTCATAACAGCAGCTGATATAATAGATAGTAATGCCAAAAGCTCCAAATTGGCAGCTTCTTATGTCAACGAGTTTGGTGGTTCTGTCTTAGAGTAGCAAAAACCATTAAAAGAGTATTCTTGTCATCTTGTGTTGATCTAATAGTTTAGAAAGAAGATCAACATCTTCAATATTCTTAACTAACACGTTACTAAAAGAGAAACCAAACACGACCCAACTTTGGCAGATGCGTTTGGAAGTTAAATCAAAACTGTCAATCCATGAACTGAATATTATGAACATCACAATTCACAAGCAAAGACCATAACTACACATGTGTAAGCTAATCAAAAACTTCTATTGGTGAAAGTATCAAACTTTATTAACTAAAACTATCTGTAAACTTAGATGCCAGCAAAAACTCACAAGAGTAAAAAAAGTATCCAAACTTATCGATAAAAGGGACAAATTAAGAAGCTTTTTTACCAGCGTATTTGCGATGTTCGGGAGTACCGGATTTAGCAAGAACCTCAAGATCAACGAGACTCAAAGACATAAGACCCAATGTTAAACCAGACATGAGTCCAGCGAACAACACAAGAAACGCTATCACAGCTATGTGTATAAAGAAGTTCGCCTCACAACACACAAGCTCCGCCGCCATCTTACAGCTCCCTCAAGAAATCAGAAACACACTAAAACCCTAGCTCACAAACACTCACAGACCTCTCTTCATCATCTTCTCCCAACAAAACAAAAAAAAAGTAAACTTTATTGAAGGAAAGAGAATTCAAAACAGAACACGAAAATTCAATTAAATAACCGTTAAAAGTTTTAAGCTCAGATATATAAAAAAGAAAAATTGTGTTTTTATTTTTGCAGAGAAATAGAAACAAGTGTGGAGAGATGATAGAAACCCCAAAGAGCTCATGCGGTGGAGATACTCTGCATATGCTAATATAGTATAAGGCCTGGCACTATTATGTTTAATGACAATCCTACCCTTCATCTGAGCTCGACGTACCTGAGAGGAGTAAGGGTGTTTTAGGTAGTTTAATTATATGTAAGAGAAGTCCTTTTTATTTTGTCGCTGACGCGACATTAGCTGGTTTTTTTGCCCGCTACGGACAGTATTTTGATCTGATACGGATTCTCCCACTACCAAACACTACTCTCTGTGTATATGTCGTTGTAAATCTGAAAGTTGTATAATACTAACTGTATATGATGTACTTGTTTCATAGTAAATTAGTTTTTCATAAATTTTATTTGTATGTTGAATTTTAAATTTGTTATTAGTATCAAAATTTGTATCTGCCAGTTTATATGGTTCAGAGAAAGATTCTCATTATTAGCCACTTATTAGGTCGGTAAGTATCTATTAAATTATTGAGCAAAAGGGATACTCAAGTTCCCATACAATATAGTATCTCGATGTTTTTTTGTATGAGAGTCGTGCGTTTCTTTTATCGATATCATATTATATTCACTAGTTGCATACTCCCCGCGCAAGCGCGGAGATAGGATCATTGTGTTTGCAATATTTTTTCGATTGTTGGTTTAGTGGATTCTTCTAATAACACCAAATAATAATGAAATTGAAAGAATGTAGTAAGAATGTAGTAAGAATGTAAAGTGAAAATATTGTATATATAATGTGTTAAATGTTATTTATATGTGAAATAAGGTTTATAGGAATAGTTAGGTTATAATATAGTTTTTAGTGTGTAAAAGTAGGTGTCTATTTTTTATTTTTTTGCTGTAAATAGTTTTTATATCGTAGGTCAAACTTGATATAATTATATATTTATAGTATTTATATTCGTATTAAACGATTTATCAATTTGAAAATAACCTTAATTAAGTTAATATTCGTTGTTTAAGTGTCATTAGATAGGTTTTTATATATGGTTTTTTGTAAGTTTGGGTTTTATTCATAAATGATGTGGCATTTTTATCTACGGCGTCATCGACTATGGGAATCCATTCGCCAGAGTCAGGAGTTAATGGTGAGGAATGTTTTCAATGAAATTATAGTAGTTATTAAAATGTAAGAGAAATTACATATTCATTTAATAAATAANTGTCATTAGATAGGTTTTTATATATGGTTTTTTGTAAGTTTGGGTTTTATTCATAAATGATGTGGCATTTTTATCTACGGCGTCATCGACTATGGGAATCCATTCGCCAGAGTCAGGAGTTAATGGTGAGGAATGTTTTCAATGAAATTATAGTAGTTATTAAAATGTAAGAGAAATTACATATTCATTTAATAAATAACAAAAAATACTTAATATTTGTTTTTATTTTATTTTATTTCACATACAATTTTTTAAAAAATATATTAGGAATTTGTTAAATGTTATTTATATACGAAATAAGGTTTATAGTAATAGTTAGACTATAATATAGTTTTTAGTGTGTAAACGTAGGTGTTTTCTTTTTGCTGTAAATATTTTTTTTATATTGTAGGTCAAAACTTGATATAATTCTATATTTATAGTATTTATATTTGTATTAAACGATTTATCAATTTGAAAATAACCTTAATTAAGTTAATATTCGTTGTTTAAGTTCCATTAGATAGATTTTTATATATGGTTTTTTGTAAGTTTGAGTTTTGTTCATAAATGATGTGGCATTTTTATCTACGGCGTCATCGACTGTGGGTATCCATTCGCCAGGGTCTGGAATCGGTGGTGAGGAAGGTTTTCAATGAAATTATAGTAGTTATTAAAATGTAAGAGAAATTACATATTCATTTAATAAATAAGAAAAAATAATTAAATTTTGTTGTTTTTTTAATTTTACCTCACATACAATTTTTTGAAAATATATATTAGGAAATCTGTGCAAGGATTAAATTTTTGAGCTCTTAATCTATATTATTCCAGCTTCATTAAGCCATCCACGTAGGCAGCCGCGTGTCTTTTTTTTTTTTTTGGTCTGTTCGTTTTTGGATCTATTTTTTATTATTTTTGGGTTGAACTATATTATAATAGGATAGTTTTAAGGTTCTTTAAACCATCCGCGTATGCAACCGCGTGAGACTTTTTTTTTTTTTATTGTTAGTTTTTGGATCTATTTTTAACTATTTTTGGGTTTGAACTTGTTAAACTTTAGGGTTTATCCAAGATCTTTAAAATAATAAGCCCAAAAAATACATAAAAACTTTATAAACAAAAAGCCCATTTGATAATAACCCAAGTCAAAAAATCAAAAATACATGATAGCTACGTGGTTTGAACCCACGATCTTGCATGCTTAATTGGACACCTTATACCACTTGGCTAAAGTGTATTTCATTGTTCATAATCATCTTACTAAATCTATAGGATTTAAAACAATACTTATGGGCCCCACAAAACTGCTGACGTGGCGCGTTGTGGAGCCTAGAAACTCTACTATTATTATTATATAGATTCGTGACAACAAGGGAAGAGGTTGGGTTAAAGAGCCTTGCTGGTGGTGGTGTTAATATATGGATATTGTGGCGGGATTTTTTTGGTCCATTAAGGCCCAGCCCGTTTATAAAACCAGCCTAGTTGGGTGTGCGGTGTGCCAAATGATGACTTGTCCACAAAGGATCTGTGTGGGATTATATTTTTGCAACATAGCAGAAAAAATATAATATATATATATATATAATATATATATATATATATATATATATATATATATATATATATATATTTTTTTTTTTTTTTTAATAATCCAGGTATCCGGACCTCTCACTTAGTCCGATTATCCCATCGCGTCCAACCAGAACTGGCGAAGAAGGTCCTGGAGACCGAACGGAAACCATGTTAAATCTGTTGTGACTGGGCCAACTCGTGATAGCGGGCAACTCAGCCGAGGTTCCTTTACCACCAGACCACGAGGCCCGGTTCTTGCAACATATACAGTATTTGATCATCATCTATCAAGATCATGCATTGCATGCTAACGTGCATGGTCATATGTGTATGATCCTCTCTCTGCCTTTTTAAAACAGAAGTCCTCGTTATATTTTCATAGCGCACTCACTGAAAATGAATGTTGTTGTAGCATTTACCTATAGTACAACTCATATGAACTAGAGAAACATGGGACAGTACCAAGGGCTCGAATGTTCTTTTTTTGTATATATATTTTCTGTTGCCTAAAATATATGTTTTATTCAAATCGAGCTTGAAATTTTAATCATCTTGACCTAAAAATATTAATTGTGGAACCAAATGAAAGTTGTGGAGTATCGTCTAAGAAAATTTGTACGCTTTTGCGTCTTTGGCTTTATGTAAACGTCACCACCAAAAAGTTGATAAAAGGAGAGTTGATGAACTGAAATAATCACAAATTAATTTTAAAAATCGTGATGGCTATTGTATCATTTAGATTGTTTGGCCGTCATAGATGAGAAGATACAAAAATGCAGCGATGTGAAACTCCAACAACTATATGTGGTAGTGGTACATATAATTTAAGAATTTCCTCATTTCTCTGAAGTATTAGTAAAAAAAATTCGAATGATCAATCAACATATGATATCGTTTTGACGTTCGTCCTTGTACCCACATGTTCTAAATAATCCTCTTTTCATCCTCCCTTCACCATTTTTTTTTAAGTTCATCACCATATCTTTAACATCGTTTTTTGCTATCTATAAGGTATATACTAGACTCTCCGGAAATGTATAGTCTGTACATTTCAATTCAGACTTGAATATTTCTACATAGTTAGTGTATTATACAACGAGTCATCGTAGAATGCGAAGCATCAGTATTCAGTACATTCAAATTCGAATTTCATTATCCACTGCAGTTAATATGTGAAAACATGTTCTAGAAACTAGAGAGATTAACAATTACCTTGAACTCTGGAATATACCCTATATGCTCTTGATCAATTAAATCGCAGACGCATACTTTTCGAACTTTAATTTCATATAATTTTGTATGTGTTTTTTTGCAAGAAAAAAATAACAATATAAAAACTACAAGTGTGTTTCGGGAAATAACAAAAGATTCACCAAGGTTCCATGCAAACTACTATATAACTCGGCTACAATCCTCACTTTAAAATCATCCAAATTTTAAAAACTCTAAAACATCAGAAATGAAAAAGATGAAAATCTTTAACCCATCTCAAAACCTAATATTAGCCACCGCCGTTTTCCTACTATCTATTATTTCCCTAAGAGCCCAAGACAGGCCAGAAGACTTCGTGGCAGCTCATAACCGAGCCCGAGCCGAGGTTGGGGTGGGTCCTCTAAGGTGGGACAACCAGGTGGCTGCTTATGCCCGTAACTATGCGAACGAGCGTAAAGGCTTCGGCTGTAACATGGAACACTCGAGTGGGCCCTATGGAGAGAACATCGCTTGGAGCAGCGGTGGCATGACAGGCGTCGCAGCAGTTGCCATGTGGGTGAAAGAGCAAGTTGACTACGATTATAGTTCCAACACATGTGCTTGGAACGAAGTGTGCGGTCACTATACGCAGGTTGTGTGGAGAGACTCGGTGAAGTTGGGATGTGCAAAAGTGAGATGCAGCAATGGTAACACCTTTATTACTTGCAACTATGATCCTCCCGGTAACTATGAAGGCCAGTGGCCTTACTAAGACATAATATTTCGAAGTATATGTTATACATATGTGTATGTACTGTTTCTATGTTCTTCATCTATACCAATCTTCTGTGGTCAGCTAATAATGATTGGTTTGTCCGGTCCGGTTCTCTTTTGTACCATATCTGTACGTGGACTTTTATTATGGTATAATAAAATGCTATGCTACGGCACTTGCTTTTTTTTTTTTGGTCTAAATGTTAAGATTTATACTATTTTGAGTTTTACATGTTGTAAGTACAACTTATTACGAAGAGAGAACACAAGAGAGTAGGAGAACAAGAGGACAAGAGGACAAGAGAGCAGGAGAGCAAGAGAGGCCAAAGCACCATTAACTATAAGGGGATAGAAACCAAAAGTAAAGCTCAAGTAAGGATGGCGAGGGAGAGGTCCGAGTAGGTCGAGATAGAGACAGTAGCCTATCTCTCATGCCCCCGTCGATGACCCGGAAGGACGCCTTTATTTGCTATATATAGAAATCTCCTTTTTGAACTGCTGTTTTATACGTACAGATATATTTAAGGTATTATTGTTACATATTATAATGTTGAATTTAATTAGGAAAAACTCGGGATTTCTTTTTAATACGTATTCCATTTTAAATAATCTCTTGTATATTGCAAGATAGTTACGAGTAAAAATATCAAGCACAAATGTTAGCTTTCTTATGTTTGCTCAATATTAAAATATAATTTTACTTAGAAATAGTCTTTGACATATCTCTATGATATATGTTCTTAATCAATCAAAACTACTTAAAGTTTATTTTAACTATATAAGGAAAATTGTCTGATCATGCTTTCTAAAACTTTATGGTTTTAATTTGAAAGCCCTTATTAAAAAAAAAAACTATATAAGGAAAATTTCCATTAAAATCACTAAATAGTTAGCTAGTAATATACATACATATATATATATTCAGAAAACAAAGGTTGAGTTATCTAATTAAACCTTGTTATACTTCTTCATTTCCGTATGTACAAACTATTCCGGTGAATGGAGAATTAACAGTGTTACATGTAAATTGATATGCTACCTAATTCATATAAAAGTGATTTGTAAATTCATTGTGGATTCTCCGGAAGATAAAACTATAGAGAAATAATGTGAATTTTGGATAGAGCGAGATGAGGCGGCGTTAATTTGAAATACTTAATATTTTTACATTGACATCGGGTGAAAAGGCACGTCATCCGGCTGCTTTGGCAAGGAGTCAGAGACTGTAATATTAGAACACCCCCATTAGGGGATTTAAGGGGGGATTCACACGTTTACCGAGGGAAACAGTGATGAATTCGGCGTGCGTGGGTTCGTCGTGATGAACCCGGTTCGTCACGAGTTCACCACGTGGTGGGTCGTGATTCGCCAATTTTTTTTTTTTTTTTTTTGAAAAAGTAAACGAAAAAAAAAAATAGCTGGCAAACCCCACCTCAGTATCACTGGTGGGGATGCTCTTAAAACAACAGTTGTTTTCAATTTTCTTATAATTAATTTGGACACTTCTTTGTGACATGGCTATGAGAGAAGAATATGCCAACTACTTTCAAACCTTTAGCTGGTTTTTGTTATATAGTTTCCAACCTTTAGCTTAACTTTGTATTATGGTCTCTACTATATATCGATGAAGACTGGTTTCAAAGTAGAAGACTTTTTCTCCCGTAGCTATTTAGTATACCTAACGATACAGTTAGATTGACATAGAATTTAGAAACCCTTGTTGTAACTTGTAATCACGTTCACATACTTTTTTGAAAGATAGAAAAACCGTATGTTATAGAATTGTTGTATGATATATACATTAAGAATTTCTGGTCTGTGGGATCATATCTTCCCAATATAATATATGTTTAGCCATTAAATTATAAGTATTGTTCCACCACCCTTAGTTATCCGAGACTTGGGCGATTCGTTGAAGAAACGACTAAACCAAAAAAAAAAGAACTCAAGTTTTTCTCTTATACAGTTATACTATCCAAGATTCACAGAGGAAAATTAATAATTTTAAAGATATTGTTTCATCCCCCTTAGCCGTCCAAGATAGTCATCACTATCAACTCTGCGATCATGCCAACGTTATTTGGACACCTAACCCTAAATAACGTGCGTACATCATTTCACAGTGTTGAAAACTGTTTAAAGTATATGCTCTGGTCATATATACTTGAAAACGTGACACCAACTAGGCCCTAAATTATCATTTCTCTACATGTAGTATACAATAAATTGTAAGATATCTATAAATATCCATCACAAACACACCAAAGAGTCATCTCACAATAGTTATAGTTGATATATTTTACAAGACAAACAACACAAAAATCATTAAAATGTTTCGTAAGGTGTCTATAGAAGCCTTTCTTCCCCTACTTCTCATCATCTACTTGACACAAATCGATGTTTCTTTCGCACAATATTATCCGCAAACCCATGACTCTCCTGACAGCTACCTGAGACCACACAATGTAGCCCGAGCCATGGTCAGAGTCAAGCCTCTAAGATGGGACTTCGCACTAGCCGTTGTGGCTCAGGACTACGCAAATCAGCTAGCATCTGGTCCATGCAGCCTCGAGCATTCCTCTGGACCATATGGAGAGAACCTTGCAATGGGAGGTGGAGAAATGTCAGCGGCTCAGGCTGTTGCAATGTGGATAAATGAAAAGTCTTATTATGATTATTACTCGAACTCGTGCCACGGCTCGGCTTGTGGACACTACACGCAGGTGGTGTGGCGTGGATCTGCTCGGCTCGGTTGTGGTAAGGGTATGTGTGGTAATGGTGCAACTATTATTGTGTGTAACTATGACCCTGCAGGCAATTATATTGGAACTAAACCATATTGATTTCAAGTTCGGTTGATGAATGTGTGTAAGATTGTTGTGTAACATTTTTTCATATTGTTTTCTTGTAAAGATGGAGTTAAAAATTGTATAAATTCAAATATGAATGCATAATCATTTTGCCCAAAAAGAAAAAAAAAATGCATAATCAAATGATAACGTGAGAAGCTTACAATAAATGGCGAATGCGCAAACAATGTAGAGGAAATGTTGTCGCGGATATTTCCTAATTTTTGGTTTCGGTAGGCCGATCTTAGATATGTAGGTGTTGATTTATTTCAAGGTGTAACTCTGCCTTAATCCTATGGTTTGCGGAGTAATCATAGTAAGCGTTAAATAAAATTTTATTAAATAAAAAAAGTGATTAAAATCGATTTTATTAAAGAATAAATATGTATTTATAGTTTAGTGTTAACTAATCTAAATTTATGATACAGAGTTAAGAAATGAGGATTTGAAAATATGATTTCGAATATTAAAACTAAAAAGTTATTTTGCTTCTTTTATTTTTTGAAGATAAATTTTTCTGGCTAAAATTTTTAAAATACTATTTGAAAAAAATTGCTCAATAAAATATTAGTACAAGTTTAATATATTAGCGATATCAAATGTGTAATAGACTTTATTAATAGCTCTCAACAAGTATATCTCTTAGAGTAATGTGGTCCTGATCTGGTCTCTAGTCCACTTTGACCATTTCAACTTTCAAGAATGACTCATACACAAATTATGTTTTTAAATGGTAGGAGCATTCTTTTACCAACCATCTTAGTCGATTAAATTTGAAATAGTCATCATATACAATTAATTTGAAATAATCACCATACACTTCAGTTTAATCCCATTTTCAGTTTCCTTTTGTTTAGAAAATACTTTTCGCTGTTATAATTTGTTCCTTCAGATATAAAAGGTTGTGTAACTATATCTACAATTACATCACCACTAGAGATTTAATTCACAATTTTAAATTATTATTAAAATAACTTTATTTTATATATTATTTTGAAAATTGGATTCTTTTAAAGAATTACTTAATTATTGAAGGTAATATTAAAATAAAATCCCAAATTTTTTTTTTTTGAAACACTCTCAATAATTAAAAATAATTCTAAGAAATAATTAAAAAAATGAGGGAGTAGACAATAGTCATGGCTTCACTATCTTTGCGTTTGTCTGGGCCTTACCTCTGTCCTTCACAGTTCACACTCTTTCCTTGTTCAAAGTCTTTCTCTTTGTTTCCTTACTAATAAACTCTCTCTGTAGATTTACCAAAGCTCCATCTCTTTCTCTCAGGTAAAACTATCTCTCAAACTCTTAGGTACTCCCTTCCTCACAAAGCTTCAGTTTTTTTCATTTCTACTGTCTCCGAATCTGATTCTTTTCATGCATTCATACTCTTTGTGGGTTCTATGTTCTTGTTCTGATTATATATAACTTTAAGCTGTTTTCAAGAAGTGGGTTCTTGATCTGAATCCTCAAGATCAAAGCTTTAGTTGGTGCTCCTTTCATCATATGTCCCTTTTACTTACTTGTTAGATTCTCAGTTTTCTTCTGCTGGTTAGAGTTTCAATTTGTGTACTTTGGCTTAGTTTTCTATAAATTTGTACTAACTTGCATCATGGTTGCAATTAATTGGTTATTTCAATTTGCATGTCACATCTTCTGTTATTCATTTTGAGGAAAGATTGTGCTTAGGTGCGATTTTCTTCTTTTATTCTATAAAGTCTGTTCCTTTATTGTCACAGGTTAAATAACTGAGTGTGGTATTTGTATAGCTGTGTGAGAAGATTATAAGAGTGTTTGTTGAAGATGAAGAAACATTCAAGCAGAAGCCAAAGAGGAGGGAGCAGAGGTCTCAAAGGGAAGCATGTCCTGCAGATATGTGTTCTGCTTGGAGTTTGCATCTGGTTAATCTATCAAGTGAAGTATTCTCATGACAAGAAGAAGGAATTCTATGAGACAGATGGCAAGAAGTTGTTAGAGAGTGAAGATGGGATGGTGAAGCTTGGGAGAAAAGATCTTCTTCCCGGTTATCATAAGCAGGACGAGAAAGAGAAGCATGTGGAAGATGACGAGGATGAAGAAGAAGAGAAAGAGAGCAAGATTAAAGTAGAGAATAGTAATACTCATGAGGAAGAGGAGAAAGAAGATGAAGATGAAGTAGCTGAGGAGGATGAAGAAGATAAGAGCAAGCTAGGAGAGGAAGTAGTTGAAGAGGATGAGGACGAAAACAAACATGAAGAAGATGATATTGATGAACAAGATCAAAGTAAGACCACTGGAGATACTGATAAGGATGATGAGTTGCTTGAAGAAGAGAAGCAGAATGGTTTGAATGAGAAGGATGAGAAAGAAAAAGAGACTAATCATGCAGATGAGATTGATATGACTGTTCATGAGGCACGCGAGGAGCATTACAAGGCTGATGATGCTTCCAGCGCGGTGTCTCATGAGTCTCGGATACTGAACACTGAGAAACTGAAAGAAAGTTCCGAAAATTCAACAGGACCATCTCAGGAGAACAGTTCCAATGCCACTATAAGTGAGGGCGGGGTTCAGAAGGAACCTGTCTTGAAGTTAGGAGAAGCTGTGGAGAAAACTATCACAGAAGTGAAAGAAGGTGAGAGTGAATCATCCAATTCCGAGAATGCGGTAACTGAATCAAGAGGTGAAACAGTGAATGGCAATTCGACAGAAGCTATTGTTGAAGCTTCAGGGTTTTTGCAGAATGAAACAAGAACCATGCAAGAACGGAGTCAAGAACATGACAAAACAGAAGATGGTGCACCACCTTCAGGATCCTCTGATCTACAGACTGTCGTGGAACTTGAGCAAACCCGTAATGAAACTGGTCCCAACAACATCACTGTTTCTGTAAACATTACCAACAAATATCCCATTCAAGACGAGTCCAGGAACTCAACTTCAAACTCTTCTCTAGTTGAAAACATCTCTAGTTCGAACACAACTGAGGTGAACGAGAGTTCAAGGTCTGAAGGTGATTATGAAACAGGTGAAAAGGAAAGTTCAAACCAGTTTTCCACAGAGCAGACGGAGGAAGCAGATGATACTCCTGAAAGCACAATGTTGCAAGAAGAGAGAGAAGCTCTCACTGATCCGCAAACTCTGCCGGATATAAGTGTAGAAGGGAACGAAGAAAATGAAGAAGAAGCGATGGCAGCAGAATAAATGAAGCTCCAATGGATAAGTTAATGTGAATGTTTTCTTTGGTTCTCGACTGCTTTTGCAGCTGTCATAGTAAAACATCAGTGTCTTGTCTCTGTTAGTTTTCAAAATTGTATATTCATCTTGAACTTCGGCTACGAATTTACTTTCACTGGTCCTGAGGAAAACCTTAAGTGGGAACTGGAGACTCGCATCTTATAGATAACATTAGAAATTAGCAACTCAAAAATGCTATTGTGCTCGTTTTATAATCACTTGTTCAAGTGGGAATTTTGCAAATCACTTCTGCAAATATCGCTTCAAAAAGTGATATCCATACAAATTTCTGTAAAATCAACAACCACCCTGAAGATGTGGACAAGATACCATCACTACATCTCTTACTTACTCCTCTTCTCAGAGCATTAAAGATACAATGATGCTTGTTTGAGAGCGCTATTAGTTGGTGCGGATGGAGAGATCTTGGAGCTGCTTTGGATCGACTTCCGAGGGAGTTCTGGTTAGGGCACATTGCGCAGTTGTTGTCTTTGGGAAAGCTATTACATCCCTTATGGAACTCGCACCTGCCAGCATCATTACCATCCTATCTAATCCATAAGCAATTCCACCTGCAACAAAATACCAAATGCTCATCAACCATGCCTGAACAATCTTGTTCAGCATCATCATCATCACAAGAGCGCCATCAAGGTTATTGACAATGTGTCAAAAAGATTTAACTCCATTTTGTCTAGACATCGACGGTACAGGTCATGTAGTGTTTTTTCCTCAAGTCTAGGATTCAATTGCCCAAGAAAATTTACATACCATGAGGAGGAGCACCCATGTCAAGAGCCTCCAGAAGATAGCCAAACTTTTCTTCAGCCTGTTTGTAAAAAATAGCATGAGATAAGCCTTATCTGTGAATATCAAACAAAGTGATTCTCACCTCTTCGGCTGAGATGCCGATGATCTCCAAAACCTTTTCTTGGACATCCCGTTTATATATCCTTAAACTTCCTCCACCAATCTGGTATACATCGAGACCGTACATCAAAAGATCTCCCAAACGATTGTTCGAGAAAAGAGTAAATGGCTAAGTTGTTTATCTATACCTCCACCCCATTATAGACCATGTCATAGGCAAGAGCTCGTGCAGAAGGTAAGTCATCCATATCCTCAGGCCGAGGAGCTGTGAATGGATGATGTAAAGCCTGAAGAGAATGTTATTTCATATTAGCATACAACATATTACAGCCATTAATCTCGTCATGAAAGATATCAAACTATGAACTCACGGACCTCAAGCCTCTGCTCTGGTTCATTCCACTCAAACATTGGGAAATCTGTTACCCACAGAATGGAGTGCTTGGACTATATATTAAACGCGAAATAGCATTAATCTGATGTATTGTCATGAAGAGGAAAAAAAAAGTGACTAGCCAATTGAGAAACTTACATGGTCGATCAAATCCATGTCATGGGCTATAAAGAGTCTTAACCTGTCGAGGGTTTTATTTACAGAAGTAGCAGGACCTACTCCAAATAAAATAAGATCACCAGGCTTTGCTCCACATTGTCTCACAAAGTTTGTTTTATCCTCTGAGTTTAAACTAGACACTAATGCTGCAATTCCCTCGATATCACCTGCATCAGAAGCTTAAACCTAATCAGAGCTCAATGTACAAAGTATAATGATATGACGAATACTAGAAAAGGATGACGGAGATAAGGCATGATATATTCTATTTACCATTATCCAAGACCTTCAAGAAAGGCAGACCCTTTGCTCCAGATTTCATTGCTTCATTGTAAACATCTCCCTTTTTGAGAGCTGAGTTTGAATACTTTTTAGCACCCGAAGGCACACATAATACCTTAATGATTCCACCATTTTCAAGGGCCTCCGTGAAAACCTTGAAAGACGATCCTGTGAAAACATTTGACACCTGCAGTTTCAGAATCTACACTTTAAAATCGATTTCAGAGCTTCTGTAACATTAAAATCGATTGAGATATATATACTTCTTTGTAACATTAATGAAATAACAAAGATGCAGATAATATTACATCTTCCAACTCAAGATCAAATCTTGTGTCTGGCCTATCTGACCCATATCGATCCATTGCATCAGCATACGTCACTCTTGGGAATGGATCAGGTAGCTGGATACCTTTAATCTCTGAAAAGACCTGCACAAGAAGGTCAAACTATTGAAGAAAGGATGAAGGAACATCAAACACTCATTAAAATGATGAGATTAACATAGAAAATGATAAAACACAACAGGAAGTAGCAAGTTTGTACACAAGATAAAATCATTAAACACAACTCAATGCAACCCTAACCTTACGGATAAGATCTTCATTAAGCTTCAGCATGTCCTCCATAGGCATGAAAGCCATTTCCATATCAAGCTGAGTGAATTCAGGTTGCCTATCAGCTCTTAGATCTTCATCTCTAAAACATCTGATCAACCAAAACAGAACGCAAGAGAGAAATCATTTGCATGAACAGTCCTGCTTTTGATGGTATATGAAGTATAGTGAGCCACTATGCAGGGAGTCTTATTTAAAACCAAGCTTAATAGCTAAAGATCATATACGTACCTTGCTATCTGGTAATATTTGTCAAAACCAGAGACCATTAACATCTGTTTGAAGAGCTGCGGACTTTGTGGCAAAGCATAAAATGTTCCTGACTTCGAGAGAGACATTTGATAGAATCAGATCTATACACTTTTGATGAAAGCTTATACTGGAGGGGTACTTTGTTCTCTAACGGGAAATAAATCAAGATTAAATGCACCTGAATTCTTGAGGGGACCAAATAATCTCGTGCGCCTTCCGGGGTTGATCTAGAGAGTATTGGAGTTTCAATCTAACACAAATAATGAAAAAAAACTGGTTAACAACGAAAACTTTGCTGAGCTTCTTTCAAATAGAGAAAGGAATTACCTCAATAAACTCATGCATGTCTTCTAGATACCTCCTAATCAGCTTCACCACATTATGACGAAGAACAATATTATTCTTCATTTGCTGACGGCGTAGATCAAGACATCGGAATCTAACATCAGACAAACAAACAGCCAATAACATCAGTAAGCACTTAGAACGAAAAGACCAACCATGAAAGATAGCTCCTACAGGCAGCTGATATTTCACCTTAAGCGAATGTCTTCTTTAATAGAATCCTTTGTCTCGTCTGAAGTAGTAACTAGGAAAGGAAGCTTTGACCTCACAGGATTTAGTATTTCAACATGCTCTGCAACTACCTAATGCAACCAACACACTACACGCATAAACAAATGCGGCTAAGCTAAACGAAAAGAGAAATCATACCTCAAGGGATCCAGTTTTCATCTTCTTGTTGATAGACTCACTTGGCCTAGTACGAACAGTGCCTTCCACCGAAACAACGTACTCAAGCCTCATGTCATTAACCAATCCATGAGCCTCAGGAAACTCATCCGGAAGCGTCCTAACCTATAATTACAAAACTTTCAAACATTAACGAAACACAAATTCCTCAAATATCCAAACTTGCATTACACAAACTAGGTGAATAAGTTGAACAGGTTCGAATAAAGTAAAATCATTTCGGACCAAACAACAAATAAAAACCGTTAACTAATCAAATTAAGCACTACTCTATAGTATCATTCACTCAGATTGACATTCCAAACACTGAGTAAAGAGTGCATTGTTAAGAAGCAGGTGCTAAATTCTAATCTCTAGTTGCCTAATACTTAAAGTGTCAAACTTTAGATGCGATGGGACACCTGGACAATGCCGGTATGATCTCTTAGATTAAGGAAAGTGAGACCTCCGTGGACTCGGTGAAGCGCGACCCACCCGCAAAGGTGGACTCTTTTTCCAACGTCATCCACTGATAACTCACCGCAGAGTCCAGTGCGCGAAACCCATTTGAGAACAGACGGAGGAGAAGGATTTGGCTTCACTACGGCGTCAGAGGAGGAAGCCACGGCAGATGAATTGCAGAAGGTTCTTCGCTGTAGGGTTCTCGGTTTGGGTAGGAAGAAGGAAACGGCGGCGTTTGAGGCGGATATGGCCGTGGCGGAGAGGAATAGAGAAAACGAAGCATGTCGTAGAGGCAAAGTTCGGAGTAAGAGAGACATCTTTGAGACGAGATAGCAGAGACGAGGAAGAAGAGTTGAATAAATAAGATTATCGAACCAATTAAATTGGTTTGGTTTGGTTTAGCTAAACCGAAATGGATTGTGATTGAAATGAGTAGTTTAGTACAATGCAACTTGTCTACTAAAATTATAAAGAAAAAACTTCAGAATCACTAATCAAAAAACTTGTTATCTAATATAGCTTCCAAAAGGGAACCAGTGAAATTGGTTTTGTTTGGTTTAGCTAAACCGAAATTGAGGATTTTTGATTGGAATGAGAGTAGTACAATGCAACTTTGTCTAATAAAATTATAGAAAAAGAAACTTCAGAAACACTAATCAAAAACTTGTTATCTGATAGAGCCTTCCAAAAGGGAGAGCTAATTCTATACAAATCCATTAATTAGTCAATTATTCTTATCCCCCCACCCACCACCACATCAGATTCTGATACCTCCCTTCTCCCAGCTTTTTCTTCATTTACAATGTCTCTTCTTATGTTTGGCATTTGCCAGGTTGTGGAAGAAATCTACAAACACTTGCTCGTAATCTGGCATCTTTCCATAACCTGCAAAATGGATTTTCAGTGATGAGAAAATTGTATTCAAACTAGACTAAAGCTTCAAAAATGCAAACAACAAAACTTGCCAGGAAAATAATTGACGTCAATAACATAAAACACGTTCTTGCTCCCATGCTCTCTGATCATGTCTATATTGAAAAGCCGAAGTCCCTGTCAAAAGAAAACAACAACCAGTTAAAACCAAAACAAAAGGAAACAGACTTGCAGGGGGGAAATGTGAGGAGGCAAAGCAAATTTATACCAATAAGGTTCGTAACTCTTTCACAAGGGCTTCGAGGAAAGACTTTGGAGGTAGCTCAGCAACACTAGGGTCCAAGTCTGCGTTATCCGCTGAAGCAGCAGAAGATGAAACCCTCGGGAATTTGAAGGCGCCATCTACTTTGGCTTTGTCGCAGTTACTTATATTTGGCAGAGAAAACCGCCTCACGACTTTTATGATATCACCAACCACAAAAACCTTGAACATTACTCCACCTTCAGGTAACAAAAGATGAATCAAGATGCATTCAAAATCTAAAAAAAAAAAAAGGGACAATTGCTTACTACAGTGTAAGGTAAAACCAAATAGTACCATGATTAACAAACTCTTGCAAGACTAAAGGCGGATCAAGTTCTGCAAGCGAGTGTCTGTCATAAGCTAAGAACAGCTGGTGTGACTTTGCAGTTCCATCGATCCAGAGTGGCTTTGCAACTGGGACAAAGTTGAAATAATTACGTTTGATCTAATTATATATAAGAACATTTAGTGGCAAGAAGATATGTTAAGTTGTTGTACCTAGTGGAAATTTAAGACCAGCTTCCACAACTTTGTCGGCACTAGATGCTGAATCTTTCAAGACAACCATTTGCTTTGGAATTAACATGCTGCCTACAAGAATTTAACAAAGCAAAGTTTACTCATAGAGAAATTTAAGAAAGTTCTTGATTTCAATGTCAAAAGAACAAATGAGAATCATTACCGCTGCAATCAGAGAGCTTCAAATCTGCCATGCCCTGAAGCATCGATTGACGATTATATATACGCTGGATTGAACTTGGAGGATCAAGCACAGTCACTTCCGGGTGTGTCTGCTGGTAATCCTACAAACAAAATCAGGCAAACATGAGACTGTTGAAAAAGATACAGTGCTTGACGACACTAGGCTCATGAAATGGATCATTTCCACACAAAAGACAAAATTATTGTTCCAGCTTCACAGTTCACATGAAAGGTTAATAGCAATCTAAATGCTCTCAAAACAAAAGGCAGACACTTTTCCTAACCTCGATAATCTCTTGCCATTCTTTTCCCAGTAACTGCAAGTGCATAATCATAACTCATTAGACTACCAGCAGAAACACAGATAAAAAAAGGCTCAGTTAAAAGCATTCCTATAGTTGTCACAAACCTTATGCAAAACCACATCAAATGGTCCTTGTTCAGAAAGTGGACGGTTCAAATCGATGGCGACAAAGTAAATGCCTTTTCTCCTAAAATAGACACGCAAGTAGTACTGTTAGCACTTTATTCCAAAACTTTGCTGAATAAAAAAAGAAATGATGAAAGCTATGTGGCTGATCAGAACGAAGCAAAGTATTAGACCAGACGTCATCACACTGAAGACATAAAGAAATATTTATCCCTGAACTATAAAAAACCTTGCTTTAGACTCTAAAACATGATACAGTATTATAAGTCGAACCAGTCATTGTTTTAACGAAAACACCCATGTGGCTGAAGAAGATTTCCAAGCCATAGAAAAGGCAAGTCATCAAAGTATTTTATTTTTTAAAAGTCAAACTTCAACAGAGACTAATCGAGAAGGATCCAAGGAATATTCCCATAGAAACAAAGGTTCCTGATACCACAAGCATACTAAGTGTGAGTCTAAGCAATGACAAAACACATGGGCAAGATATGGTCCTCCAAAAAACAGAATCAGGCAAACCAAACAGTAGCTATTACCAAAACAATAGTAAGGAAACAAACACCAAATCTAAAAGAAAATGTCAAAGTCCACACTTTTGAAAATTTGAATAGAAAACTGTCGGTTATGTTCTATACGCCGAAACATAAGAACAGTCGTCACATGACAAAAAAGGAAAAAACATGAACTTGATGAACAGAGAAGCATTTGCGTTATGTATTCTCATTACCTAGCCATGAGTTCAAGCTTGGGCTGCAAGAAACTCTTCTTCTTTTTAGAAGTCAGAGCATACCCAACAACGAGCTTCTGAATCTGCTGAAACGGATGCTGCTGAATCTGAAACGGCGACGTTTCGGCCACCACTTCTCCGTCTCCTCCGTCTCCTTCTTCGTGTGGCGCCATGTTCTCGCCTTCCAATCTCATACCACCGCAGGAAAACCCTAAATTGCGTGTAACCCCCAAATTACGCCTCAATCTGGCGGTTTCGATTTCTCCGGAAGCGAGAGTCCCAAACATTAATATAGAGAGAGAGATGGGTAAGAAGAAAGGAAGATCCTTTATGAGATCCCTCGAAGATTCTATCTCCGCTTACACGCAAAAATGGTAAGAATTGGCACTTTTCTAAACGAACAGAGAGGAGGGGAAGCTAGAGAGAGATGAGTCTACCGTAAAGGGTCATAAGTTCGAAACCCAGAGAAATCAGATTTGTGATGTTGAGGGAGAAAGATTGGAGTCGGAATCGTTTATTTATAGAAGAAGAGAGATTGAAAGATTTGCAGAAGGAAGAAATGTGATTTTTGTTAAAGAATAAAGAAGGTTGTAACTCTCATTGTATTATTAATCACGTGGTTACACATATATATATACATACAAGAGAATAAAGCATATTCCTTAGGAGATAAGGATTGCTACAAATAAAGGGGATGATTATCCTAATCCTATAATGATTAGGATAACTACAACATATGGATAAACACAAGGGAGGATAGTGACTGA